ATGGCACTCTATACATGGCCCAGTCGCCCCTAGGGGGACAAAGCAACACACTGAGTGGGTTACACATATTTTAGATAACTATAGTAAAATCCCCAGAAAACCTACAACCTGACTATTTCATGAACACATCATGAAGACCATACCTAAAATGCAATGGGGAAATCACCTATACGTTTTAAAATATAATGCCTGATCCTGCAAGTATTACTCATGTGAGCAATCCTTTTTCATGGGATCATGGGCGGCAGGTGGATCTCCCCCTTCGGGAGGCTAGTCCTGCAGCCCCGTCCCTTCCGCACGAGGCCCTACCCCCACGTGGCCAAAGCTCTGAGGCCCCCCCCCACCCATCTGCCTCTTGTGGCCAGAGAAGGCCTGGGCCGGCTGGAACCCCAGACTGCCACTCCACCCCCGCGCTGCCAGAGGAGCCCCGGGCCAGCCCCAGCTGGCCAACCAACCCGAGCCCCAGCCCAAGCAGCCCCAGCCTAGTGTCCCACGGCAGCAGCTGCAGGCCTATTATACCCGCTGCCCGTGTGCGGGAGTGCTCCCACTGACATCATGGGGACTCTTTGTGCAAGTAAAGATTACCGGTGTGAGGAAGGTTAACAGAAAAGGACCTTGAAAGGGGCTCAATTCTACAGGGGGATGAGCACTCTGAACCCAATTCAGTTAAGCACATGTTGAAATGCTTTACTGGAACAGGGTCAGAGTGCTCAGCACCTTGAAGGATTAAATCCAAACTGTATATAAATAGTAAAGTACAGTACAAAACACATGGAGCTGCTGTCAGAGAAAGAATTTATACAGACAGCTCACCCACACGATTAAAGTGGAAATATTGATATGTGATGTAACATAGCTCACATTCTGCCTGTAATTACTGAGCACTATTAAATCACACTGGATCAATAAAATCTTCACTATCACAAGAAAAAAAAATCCATTTACTTAATCAACTCAGATTTCAGAATAACTAAATGCAGAAGAAATACTTACATTTCCCTTTGGACATTTTTCCCTGTATGCCAAGACCTTTGTATTCTACTTTGCCAGTAAATTTTTTTACTATAATTTGTTACATTTTGAATTTTATATCTTAATATATTACATAAATGATGCCATCATGAGGCATTATCAATCAGTGACATTATAATTCAACTATAAGTAATCAGTTTTAGATTAATAAAAGTTCCTGCTCTTTTAGCAAAAACTTTCAAATGGTTATACTTCCAACATAGTGCTTTACTACTGAATACTCCCCCTAGTGGTAATGAAACTGCTACAGTTGTAAGCACTATGTTTGGCAGTAAGTATTTGCAGGATCCCTCCCCTAGTAATTAAATTAAAAATTCAGGATGAAATATGCAAGCCAACCACATTTTAGAAAACAAATGTCAGTTTGTGCAGAATGGAATGCAATGACAGTCATGACACATTTAAAATGTTTCTTTAAAAATAAGATGCAAAGAGTAAGTATTTTCTTCTGATAATAGTTTGGGGGCCAAATTCTTTGCTAAACTGCATTCTTTGTAAATCCATTGACTTCATCCTCATTGATTTCAAAAGGGATTTTCAGAATGTAGGTGTAGAATTTGGCCCCAATGTCTGAATGACATTAGATCAGTGGAGATTTCATAAACCAAATAGTTACACAATTTAACCTATTACACACCAGTTATGTCACTAGCTTGAGGTTCATTAGCAATTGTTATCATGTTGACAAACTCAAACTAATCTCTGATACTTCTTTGGTTCTTGTTTGTAATTATTTAATATCCTGACAATTAGGGCTGTCAATTAATCACAGTTAACTCATGTGATTAACTCAAAAATTAATCGTGATTAAAAAAATTAATCACGATTAATCGCACTGTTAAACAATAGAATACCAATTGAAATTTATTAAATATTTTGGATGTTTTTCTACATTTTCAAATATATTGGTTTCTATTACAACACAGAATACAGTATACAGTACTCACTTTATATTATTTTTATTACAAATATTTTCACTGTAAAAATTATTTAAAAATAGTATTTTTCAACTCACCTCATACAAGTACTGTAGTGCAATATCTTTATTGTGAAAGTTTAACCTACAAATGTAGATTTTTCTTTTGTTACATTACTGCACTCAAAAACAAAACAATGTAAAACTTTAGAGCCTACAACTCCACTCAGTCCTACTTCTTGTTCAGCCAATCGCTAAGACAAACAAGTTTGTTTACATTTATGGGAGGTACTGCTGCCTGCTTCTTATTTACAATGTCACCTGAAAGTGAGAACAGGCATTTGCATGGCACTTTTGTAGCCAGCGTTGCAAGGTATTTACGTTCCAGATATGCTAAACATTCGTATGCCCCTTCATTCTTCGGCCACCATTCCAGAGGACATGCTTCCATGTTGATGACACTCATTAAAAAAATAATGCGTTCATTAAATTTGTGACTGAACTCCTTGGGGGAGAATTTTATGTCTCCTGTTCTGTTTTACCAACATTCTGGCATATATTTCATGTTATAGCAGTCTCGAATGATGACCCAGCACATCTTCATTTTAAGAACACTTTCACAGCAGATTTGACAAAACGCAAAGAAGGTACCAATGTGAGATTTCTAAAAATAGCTACAGCACTCAACCCAAGTTTTAAGAATCTGAAGTGCCATTCAAAATCTGAGAGGGACGAGGTGTGGAGCATGCTTTCAGAAATCTTAAAAGAGCAACACTCAGATGCAGAAACTACAGAACCTAAAACACCAAAAAAGAAAAATCAACCTTCTGCTGGTGGCATCTGACTCAGATGATGAAAATGAACATGCTGTCGGTCCACTCTGCTTTGAATCGTTATTGAGTAGAACTGATCATCAGCATGGGCATATGTCCTCTGGAATTGTGTTGAAGCATGAAGGGACATATGAATCTTTAGCGCATCTGGCAAGTAAATATCTTGCGACGCTGGCTACAACAGTGCCATGGAAATGCCTGTTCTCACTTTCAGGTGACATTGTAAACAAGAAGCAGGCCGCATTATCTCCTGCGAATTGTAACCAAACTTGTTTGTCTGAGTGATTAGCTGAAGTAGGACTGATTGGACTTGTAGGCGCTAAAGTTTTACATTGTTTTATTTTTGAATGCAGGTTTTTTTTTCAGATAATTCTAAATTTATACGTTCAACTTTCATTATAAAGAGATTGCACTACAGTACTTGTCATGGGGGAATTGAAAAATACTATTTTTTTTAACTGTGCAAATATTTATAATAAAAAGTAAATATAAAGTGAGCACTATACACTTCGTATTCTGTGTTGTAATTGAAATCAATATATTTGAAAATGTAGAAAACATCCAAAAATATTTAAATATATGGGATTCTATTATTGTTTAACTGTGCGATTAATCACATGATTAATTGTGATTCATTTTTTTAATCGCTTGACAACCCTAGTGACAATATGTGTCCCATTCTGTGCCTGGAAATTAGTTTAAAAAATACACACACTGGGGCCCCAGCTAGACATTGTAGTTCTATGGTACAGAAAAACCTTTTACTATATTATTCTCTGTTGTCACAATGTGACATTAGAAATGTCTCCACAACTATAGACAAGACATTTTTCACGCCAGCAGAGTTTCTGAATTGACTTCACATTTGCTGATTGCCTGCACATACAAGCGACAGTAATACAGGCAGTAGATCATGGTCTTTGGAATTTGTTCAAATCTATTTGGGCTTCTCCTGTGAGCCATGAAAAGGATTCTTTCAAACAGAACCACATGGGAAAACAACGGTGCGGAAAACTTCTGATATTGTCATGCAGTGGGAGACAACAGCTGGGTATTATGAAGAGGCCACAGCTGTTTGTTACTCTTTTAAATTGGTTTTCTTCACTTGAAGTTCAATATTTATTTGTACCAGTTTGAATTTTTTAAAATTAAATATATCTGTGTAGCTTTTATTTTCTGCTCTTTATGCACCTAATTCTGCACCATTCAAATCATGGTATTTGCTCCTTTTGCGCTCACTTTGCATTGGTGTAAATGACTACCCAAAAGCATAAGGCAGTGGAGAATCAGGGCCTAGGTCTTACGCCTGAGCATTGCCCATTGGTTTCAATAGGAATTGTGAGTGCTTAGCAACACACTTGAGGATCAGGCCCTAACTACTTCTTTTTTTAAAGATTTCTTTTAGTGCAGACAATTCCAAAATCTTTCTCAATGTCCTAATTTCTTATTGTTCTATGATATTATCAGAAGCAGCCAGAAAGGGATTTGGGTGCAGATCCTTAGCTGGCATAAAATATCATAGTTTCACTGTAGTCAGTGGAGCTATGACAATTTACACCAGCTGAGGATCTGCCCTTTGGTCTTTTTCTCCCCTGTGACTAGCGAGGCATTTTCTGCTAAGATGTATATTCTAATATACAGTGCTACATTATCAGTAATGAATGTAAAATCTGGTGGGATGCAGGGAGCCTATGGAATCCCATCTGTCAATGTCAGTAGAAATGAATGTGCTGTTGGGGAAGAATTTCCAGCTACGGTTTTATGTTGGCCATACTGGTTTCTACTTTGTTGTTCTTGGCCTCATTATTTGGTACCCTTCTTTATGCCACAGTTGGCGCCCTTTTCCAAAAGTGCAGGAAAATGGGAGAGTCAGGTGACTCAAAGTCTGCCTAGTAACAATTAAGTTACTTAAAGGGTATTCATCCACTCTTCAGGGCTACTCGCCACTTGCTGCTTGTTGCCTCAGAGCTGCCAGAGGTAGTAGCCTGACTGGGACCTCTACTTCTGAGCTGAGGAGCAGTCCAGTGGCCCACACAATAGCACAGCTGCTAGAAACCCCCAAGACAGACCAGGTCTGCAGAACTTGAACTTATTCCATCCGGACCTCACACACACATGCATCTGTAATCATCAACTGTAGGTTCGCATACTACACACATGACCATGGGTCAAGAGTGGAAGACAGAAGATAGAAGATCAGCGAAAGACCAACGACTTACCTGTTCACCTGCGTGGTTCCTGAGTCTCCCAAGTTCCTGATCCTGCGCCCTGTCAGCTTGATTCCTGCTTTCCTTGGGGTCTGCCTATCTTCTCCTGTCAACGAGACATGGTAGTGTGGTTACTCTCATTACTCTTATTGTGGATCCCTCTTTTCTGTAAGGGCCTTTGGGGTTCTGGCTTTATGCCATATTCCATCCATTGACAACCGAGCCTGTTTTGTACTATTTTAGTTAAGTTGAGGGTCCTTGTTTACTTGTACACATGTATTCAGTTAATAAACCCACTTACTTGCATCTTACCAACCAGTCATGTCTTGTCTCACCACCTAAATGGGCCGATGACTAGATGTGGGTGGGGGTTGAGAACCTGAATTTAGCCCCTTCTGAGGTCAACACACAGTTCCAGGGCTGACTGATTTGGTCCAAGGGCTAACAGTATACATATACAATTAATCAGTTGATACCCATTAAGAGGAGCTGCTCTGTCAGTTGACAGAGGAAGCTTAGATGTCCAGGTCTACTTGTAAAATAGAGGAGTCCAGAATATAAGTTTGATATTACCTCACCCACCTTGTCTCTTTCTAAATCTGAGGACAGAAATGGTGTTTTTATAGTCTGGAAATCCCAGCAGGAAACAACCCTCAGATAGGAAACTTTATTCTGTGAAGGGGAAAGAGGTGCGTCACTCAGGGAAATACTCTGCCCACAGTGGTTTCTTTAGATCTCCTGTTAATAAATACATTGCACATTATTTCAGCCTGGAAAGCCAAACATTACTGCACAAATTGTGTCATCCTAAGAACAGGGAACAGAAAAAAGAATGCTTCCAGAAGAAGGAGCTTCGGCCAGAGGGTTTACAATGAACAGAATATTTTAGATAGTTATTAAAGACCAAAATCTAGAAAGGGTTGAGTGGAAAAGGAAGACATCTATAAGTTGTAGCAACTCACCCATCCCCAACATGTGCTAAAATTTGCCTAAGGCTATGTCACTCTGCCACATAATTTATGCTGCTCAGAGGTGTGAATAAAACACTCAGTGACATAAGTTACACCAACATAAGTGCATGAGTGAGAGCTATGTCAGCGAGAGCGTCTCCTGCCAACACAGCTTCTGCTGCTTGTGGAAGTGGTTTTATCATGTTGACAGGAGAGCTCTCTCTTGTTGGCATAGAGCACAGGTGGGCAAACTACAGCCCGCTGGCCACACCTGGCCTGCGGGACCATCCTGCCCAGCCCCATAGCTTCCGGCCGGGGAGACTAGCCCCTGGACCCTCCCCTGCTGTCCCCCCTCCCCCGCAGCCTCAGCTCACCGCACCACCAGCGTTCTGGGCAGCGGGGCTGCGAGCTCCTGCCGAGCAGAGTGGCAGCGTGTCTCGCTCCAGCTGGGCAGATAAGGGGTGGGGGGTCCCGGGGGGCAGTCAGGGGACAGGGAGCAGGGGGTGGTTGGATGGGGCGGAGGTTCTGCGGGGGGGGAAGTCAGGGGATGGGGAATGAGGGGGGTGGATAGAAGAGGGGGGCCTGTCGGGGGGCCTATCAGGGGGCCGGAGTGTGGATAGGGGTTGGAGGACTGGGAGCAGGGGGGTTGGATGGGGGTGGGGTCCCGGGGGGCAGTTAGGGGTGGGGGATCCCAGGAGGGGGCAATCAGGGGACAAGGAACAGGGGGGTTTGGACGGGTTGTAGATTCTGAGGGGGCAGTCAGGAGGCTAAAAGTGGGAGGGGGCGGATAGGGGGTGGGGGCCAGGCTGTTTGGGGAGGCACAGCCTTCCCTACCTGGCCCTCCATACAGTTTTGCAACCCCAATGTGGCCCTCAGGCCAAAAAGTTTGCCCACCTCTGGCACAGAGTGTCTTCACCACACCCACTTCAGCAGTGCCGCTTTAATGATGCAGCTGCATCACTGCAGTGCTGTACATGTAGAAATGCCCTAAGAAGGTTTGGAAGCTTTTGCTGGAGCAGGAGGCAGCCCTTGCTCTAAAACAAATGTGGAGAAAGTGATGAAAGCAAAAGCAGAATATAAATGAATGTGCAATGAGAATACAGATTAGCATCTGTAAAGCTCAGGCCCATCGAGGATTGTTGTGAAATATATGCAAAAATAAACATATTCCTAAAAAAGTCTGAATCAAGGCAGGGTTGCCAGACAAAGGATGTCTATTCACCTGTGTGCCTCAGTTCACATGGGGGGAGGAATAGCTCAGTGGTTTGAGCATTGGCCTGCTAAACCCAGGGTTGTGAGCTCAATCCTTGAGGGGGCCATTTAAGGATCTGGGGCAAAAATTGCAGATTGGTCCTGCTTTGAGCAGGGGGTTGGACTAGATGACCTCCTGAGATCCCTTCCAACCCTGATATACTATGATACATGTAAATTAAGCATTGTAAGCCAATACAATGGAAGCTCTGTTTACAGGTGAAGTCAGCACACCAGGGAATAAACCCAGGGTGGCAGTGTGAGGGGATCATGCTAACTCTGGGGACAAACAATGGATTTTGGGGGATATATGAAGAAAGTGAAAGGACACTTATTTACCCTGCATCTGAGGAAATAAGTGGCCAGTGTGATTACATTTGTGAAAATGGGATCCCAACCAGCCTTGGTTGGAAACACTTCAAGAAGGCTTTGGGTAAGAATAGACTGCTTTAGACGGATGGTTAGTCCAGGGGTTCTCAAACTTCATTGGTCTGCGATCCTCTTCTGACAACAAAAATTACTACACAACCCCAGGAAGGGGGACCAAAGCCCAAGCCCCACCACCTTGGGCAGGGGGACAAAGCCAAAGCTCAAGGGCTTCAGCCCCAGGCGAGGGAGAGTGTAATCTGATCCCCACTACCCAGGGCTGAAGCTTCCACCCCAGCAAGTCTAATGCTACCCCCAGTGACCCCATTAAAATGGGGTTGCGACCCACTTTGGGGTCCCAACCCACAGTTTGAGAACCGCTGGGTTAGCCTATTAAAATTATGTTTTGTCTCCAAAAAGAGTGTATGGATTTTGTTTTATGTAATTTTTCTGTTTCCATTATTCTTACTCACTATTTCTTAAATCTTAAACTTTGATAATAAACGTATGATTGTTTTCACTATAAATATATCTCAGTGCTGTGATGGTATATAAGAACTGATCCTCAGATGAATCAAACAGTCTGGTGTGTGCACTTTCCTCTTGGAGATAGCAAAACTGTGGTATCCAGTGATGGGCTGGATATCACAGGAGAATGCTTCAAAGGGACTCAAGGACTAGGGTACACCTATTGTTAACCTGCAAAGCAAAGTAAGAGATCAGAGGACATTGTTTGGGTGGCTAAGAGACCGGAGGTATCATGGAGCTGACACCTAGTTAAGCACCAGCAAGCCTCTCTCTCTCTCCTTGGAGACTGGTGGATAACAAGGTGACTCACAGTCCTGGGCACCCCAAGAAATCATCACACGAGACTATCTGCAACTTTTTTTGCAAGACCTAGTATAATACCCTTTCCCTTAGCCAGGTGTCTGACTGGTTATTAGGGCCCACAAGGGCTAGTGCTTACCAAGGCCTAGCTACTGAAGCATCTTCAGAGCTTGCCTCTGAGTCACAGTAGAACTGGCACTGTTAAGTGTTTGTTGTACTCCAGTACTGAGCAACCCCCCCAATAATTACATCTACTTCCTAGCTCTCACTTATAGGCAATCTACAAAGAGGGGGGAAATGTGTTTGTTCCCTTTTTTGTTAATTTATGATTTGTGAAGGCCTTCCCCCTCCCCCAAAACAGAATGTATATGTGTGTGGTGGAGTTGGGTTCTTCTTATTTTTTAGATTAATAGTTTAAGTCTTTTCTACCTTGGAAGACATGATTTATGGTCAAGCTACAGCCCCTTTATTCTGGTTCCGCCAGAGCAAATGTACTATAAACCTGGTGAATCTAGCCCTTGGGGTATTCCCCCAATATTAAGAGAGTCCCCATGTGACATAGAGCTGATATACAACAGGCTACGTTCTGCCACCCTCCTTATTTCTGTGTAGAGAGGAAAGAGAACACCCAGGAGGACGTAGAACACAACTGTTGCATCTGGCTCCAAAATCCATTCACTAAGAAGCAGAGAAGACATTGCAGTTTAGGGGTAGTGGAGATGGTCAGACTTGTGCTATTTGCTGGAGCTGAAGTGGGCAATGTCATTTTTTTCCTTTAATTTCCACAGATCAGTTAAAACTTGTCTACACTAAGGATACAAAGTACAATTTGCACTGTAGAAAGCTGCAATGGTGCACATTAGACAGCATATTTCAGGTGCACCATGTTCACATGCAGCAATTCCTGCAACAGCTGTGGACCGTTGCACCTATCCCACTATTGTAGGGCACACCTGACTGTAATTCCTCCTGCTGGATTAGGATGATGTTGCAGTACTCCCTGCCTCAGTTTCCTTTATCCGGGAGCCAATAATTCCATTTCTGGCATACTTGATTCAATAATACTCTCCTTATGACTTGGTTATTACAAAAATCCTACAAAATCCTGCAAAAAGTCCCAAATAAATAAAAGGTACTTCTAGCTCTCAGGGTTACTTTGAAGCATGCCCTTTACACTCTGTGCCCAGTCCCCTCATTTTCTCTCAGTCTTTAAATCTCTCCTCATGGCAGGAGCCCCAGTTCTCCTCCTGGATCTAGGCAGCGCAAACAATTATTATCACCTATCTTGCTTCCTGAAGTTGGGTGGCAATTTCTCTCTGTGTATCTTCTCCGTATGGCAGTAGGCCCAGGTCTTCTCCTGGTGGTAGGTAATTCAAACAATTAATTATCCACCTCCTTATCAGGAGTCGCCAGCTCTTTTCCTGGGGCTGGGTTGCAATTTATTTCTCTCTGCTGGCCCCACTTACTCCTTAGGCTCAGAGGATTCGGCTGCCTTCTCCTACTGGTCTCCTCCTTGCTAAGTCAGGGCCTGCACACTGCATGAGCTTTCTTATGCCTTACAATATCTGCAGGCATCTGACTCACTATGTAGGAGGAGACCAGCATGCTGGCCCCTCCCTTCTCCCTACTCATTCCTTACTGCCGTGTTTCCCAATCGGTGTGCAGCAGATTTTTTTGAAAAGCTACACTTGAGAACAAAGAAACAGTCCCTTGCATTTTAATGAGTGGCGGAGCCGGACTGCATTCTGTACTTTTGCACTCCGGGACGAGGCCCCTCTCAAATATTATGCGTATGTCACATTCCATTCCCCAAAGTGAGGTTAAGATAGCAAATTTCAGTCGCTGAGTAAAGGCAGGGGAGGGTGAAGGAAGGGGGGAAACTGCCTTCTGATTGGCCATCTGCCTCACTGCCCTGCCTCCTCCAGGGGCAGAACAGCCAACCAGAGCTCAATCTCCCTCTCCTCCCCCACTCCCCTCCTGTGAGCAACAGGTTGGCTCTGTTCCCACTCTCCTATGCTAAAATGTAAGCCCCTGGAGCCACCCCCAAGCCTCGAAGGGGAGTGGGGATTCTACTGCAGCCCCACAGGGTAGGGAAGGGGAAAGAACCCGTGGAGAAGCAGAGGTGAGGGGTGGGAAGCGGGGGGGCAGAACTGGTGTGACGTGGGAGCTGGGTGGGGATGGGGGCAGAACTGGTGGGGGTTGGGGAGCGGGGGGGCAGGGGTCAGAACTGTTGGGGCCTGCGTGGAGCAGAATTGCCTGAGGTGGGGGCTGGACTGGTGGAGGGTGAGGACAGAACTGATGAGGGCTGGGGCACAAGATTGATTTGGAGGTTGGGGGGCAGAATTCATTGCAGGACATGGATGGAAAGATGTGGGGGTGAGAATTCCTGCAGCAGGGGCCACAATCCTCATAGTCAATACATCTGGGCGCATGGGCATCACTAACACTCTCTCTCTGGGGATGAGCAGGGGCAGTTCACCAAGCATTAGAATGAAAAAAACTATATAATCTCTTTGTAAATAACCACATGTTTTGGAGGACAAGCCCCTGACTTGTTGGGGTCTGACTCATTTATTTTTTGATCTCTTGAGGCTGGCAGCGCTCTGAGTGGGACTTAATTAATTATATTGCATTTAAAAACAGTGGAGAAAATTACACACACTTGGGAAGACTATTTTGGGAATGAGAAGAAATTATTAATTATTAAGTGCTTGTCATCCAAAAATATTATTCTCAAGTGCGTGTCGCTTTCTCCACTGAGCATGCTTTTGTCCAGAGTTCTTATATTTAGCTTTAGTGTTTGTTAGTTTCCACTGCTGAAAATGTTAATTCTGGCACAAAAGACAGATCGCAATCTAATGTTAGCCGCCATGGTTGTTTTGATTTTGACCCTACTAGCCCTGTTCTGGATTGGCTCATGAACATTCATGAGATCATTTGGAGACAATTTGGTGGGATGCCTCAAAATAAGTTAAGATATCCAGTTGGGCTGTGGCAGAGGAAAGGTTGGGAGCAATCTGGCTGGGTGAGCGGGGAGCCTTGCCCCACCCTCTCTGCAAGACTCCAGGTCCCAGACCACTGGGGTATGTCTACACAGCAAAAAACAACAACAACAACACAGAGCTGTCTAGGGTTGCCAGGTGTCCAGTTTTCGACCAGAACACTGGGTCAGGTGGGCTCAGTGGTACCCCAGTTCCAAGTTGCACTCCGTGGGGAACCTATCACAGTTCCATTGGACCTGCATTTACTGAATCACTAATTAGTGCCCCCAAATGGTTATTTAGACCAGTGGTTCTCAATCAGGAGTACATGTACCCCTGGGGGTACGCAGAGGTCTTCCACGGGGTACATCAGCTCATCTAGATATTTGCCTCGTTTACAACAGACTACGTAAAAAAGCACTAGCAAAGTCAGTGCAAACTAAAATTTCATACCGACAATGACTTGTTTATATTGCTCTATATACTATACACTCAAAGGTAAGTACAATATTTAAAAATGAGAAAGTAAGCAATTTTTCAGTAATAGTGTGCTGTGACACTTTTTTATTTTTTATGTCTGATTTTGTAAGCAAGTAGTTTTTAAGTGAGGTGGGGTTCATAAGACAAATCAGATTCCTGAAAGGGGTACAGTAGTCTAGAAAGGTGGAGAGCCACTGATTTAGACAATCAGCTAGCAGTAAGTGAAAATGATTGCAAATGCCAGGCACAAAAAAAGAAGTAATTGCACCCATTTTGAAACTGTCCCATAATGTCTTCATTGCTGAAACACCACCATCAGACTCCCAATAGCTGCCAGATCAACCTCTAAGAGTAAAAAAAGGTCACTCCTCAGACAGCAAAACGATGTGCTGCAATAGTTACTGTAATAGAATGTTATCACATGATCTCCTTCCTGTTATGATCATCCTGTTGCTTTTGCTGACATGGCTGCTTGTGTGATTACTAACCTTTACACAGACAACCCATAACTCTAATCAGTCTAGCTCCTCATACACATTTAATACCAAACACACTCAGTTACTATTGCACTTAGGCCACACGTTTGTTTTACTTTATCACATTATAACATTAACTGCTATTAAAACACTCTTAAAATATTATTTCCATGTACTGCACATAGACCCAATTTGTTTCTTTCCTGAACTAAAAATGAAACAACTGCAGAAATTTGAAATGAACTTTTTGAACTTTGAAATTTGAACTTTTCCAAACATTGATACAGCTGTGCTTCTGCAATGAAGTTTTGAACTGATGTGAACTGTAAGAAAAACAGTAAATGTATGTAAAAGCTATAAGCATTTATTTAGGAGTCATTGAAATGGGGCATATTTAAGATGATTCCATGTCTGTACTGGTTGGACTTAACAATTCAGGGAGAAATTGTAGTTTGCATTCCTTGTCCTCTGGTTCAAGTGATGGATGGGGTTTATTAGGAAATGAGTTACTAAAGTTATTAAAGACCTCGGCATCAGGCAATTGTTCATCTTGGTTATGCTTAGGGTTGATCTTGTTCCTATGTGTGATGGGGTGTCCACAGCACACAGGACTGGAACGGGTTAAGGTGTCCAGGTAGGCCAGTTAACTCCCTCGGTTGCACCTGGAGGAGGAGCCAGGGAGCAGAGGTTGATTAAATGAAGTTCAGCTAGGCTGGAACAGGAGGGGCCTGTAAAATCCCAGGAGCAGAGAGGGGCTGCAGCACCCCATGGGAGAAGAGAGATACCTAAGGGGCTACAGCAGTGGTTCTCAAACTTATTTGATCATGCCCTCCTTCTTTGTGTCTGTGCTCTCCTCTGCCCAGCTCTGAAGGCAGAACAGGGAGTGGCGGCTGGTGGCCAGGTACCCAGCTCTGAAGGCAGTGTAGCCACCAGCAGCAGTAAGGGTGGCAATGCCATACTATGACGCCCTTACTTCTGTGCTGCTGCTGTCAACGGTGCTGCCTTCAGAGCTGGGCACCAGGCCAGCAGCCGCCACTCTCCAGCAGCCCAGTTTTGAATGTGCACAGTTTTTTTTTCCTAAAGCTTCTCATGCTCCCCAGATTGAGAACCTCTGAGAGGGTAGTCCATGGTTACTCCCTGAGAGGAGGGAGTTGGGAGGCTGGGGAAGCCAGGAAGGTATAAAAAGGCTCAGGGGAAAAGCAGCAAGGTTGAACAGTGCAAGCTTTAGCTGCTGACCAGAGGGTCCCTGACCTGGAACCCGGAGGGCGGACTCAGATTCCTCAATGAGCCACTGAGGCTGTGGCACAGGCCAGGCAGAGCACAGCAGACTGCCTGGAACAGTTTGCCCTTGAAAGACTTCATTTCCCCACCCCTGGAAGGGGAATATGTATGGTGACGCAGCTGGAGGGCTGTCACAAAGAGGAGGCTGCAGTTCCTGAAGTGAGAGGGGCTGCAGGGCAAGACAGGATGGGAGAGGACGTGGCCAGAGGGTGCAACGCCTGACGGAGCTAAGGATGGCCAGGAGGAGGTGCCACCAGCAGTGAGTGGACCCTATCACACTAAGGCAGAGGTCCCCAAACTGTGGGGCACACCCCATAGGGGTACACAGAGGAACATTCAGTGGGGGGGATGGCTGGGGCCTGGTTCAGCCCCCCATGGGGGGCAGAGAGGGAGCGCCACCCAGGTCTGCCTGGAGCCAAAGCTGCTCACCATGACCGGGGTTCCGCTCCCAGCTCCTGGCCCTGCCCCAGCTGTAGCCCCACTCTCGGTCCCCTTACCCTGTCTGCATTTCCCCCCGAACCGTGGCTTAGCTCCTACCCCTGGCTCTGGGGTGGGGTGGGCCTGGACCAGTTTGGGGAGGGGACCACTGCACTAAGGTTAAGGCCTAAATTGAAACTCAAGATGTGTGCAAAGGAAGTGTAAACTGAGATTCCTTTGTCTTTTAACCACTTTTCTTGCTTCTGCAAAAAAAAACCCAAACCCCCAGGAAGCTTAAATCAGTTAGTAGTGCTTATAAAAGCTTATTGATGTTTGTTTTTTACCTTTAATTTTTCCTCACAGCAGTTTCTACTTATTACTTGGTGTTATTTTAGCATGTACCATATGCTTGGGTCCATCCAATGCATAAACAGAGATAGCCCTGCCCCCAACATAGGCCCCAATCCTGCAACGTGTTGTGCATAGGCTGAGCCCTGGGCTGCATGGAGCCTGTTGAAGTCAAGAGAGCGCCGCCATTCCAGCACAGGGGCCGGCCCACATACAATGCATTGTAGGATTGGGGCCTTACAAGCTAACAGAAGCTTGAAACACAGACCATTTGCTTCACACAAAATGGAGCACGCTGCCACCCAGCTCTTATTTAGGTTTGTCATTCATAATAACAATACTTTGCACTGATCCAGTCCAGCGTCTTCCACCAGAGACGCTCAAGGCCAGCTCCCTGCCACTGCCCCATTGGAAAGGTGGCTGGGGAGACAGAGAAAGGCTAAGGAACATGCTCAAGGCCACACCCTGCAGTGAGCACTTGCAATGGAGCCAGAAGCTGGGTCACGCAATTCCCAGGCCCGCTCTCTCTGTCCCCACTCCCATTGGCTGGGATAAGGTAGAGACAGAGCCCTGAGCCCAGCACTACGGCCAATCAGGGCTGCGGGGGTGTGTCACATGATGTTTAGCTCCACCCACAATAGCAGGCTACTTTTTACTTATAGAACGCCTCCAACTCGCGCATGCGCACAGCTCCCGCGCCGCAGCCCTTCCTTCAGACTCTGGTGGGCTAATTTTACTGCTGTGGGAAATCTCGTGAGACTAGAAGGGAAAGTGCCGCGAGACGTGCTGCGGGACGGCGCGGCGGTGACAGAAACAAAGTACGGCGGTTCACACGCGCCACCGCCTCTCCCCCCCCCCCCCAGGCGCGCGCGCGCGCGATGGCCGCTCAGCCCGCGCGCTGGAGCCCCCTCGAGCAGGAGCAGGACCGGGACGTGCGGGCGCTGATCCGCCGCCTGACCGGCCTCCGCGAGGCGCAGGGCGGGGAGGAGCCCGGCGGCCGCTTCCAGACGGCGCTGAGCTTCGCCTGGTCCAACTTCAGGTCAGGGGCCGCGCGCTCCGTGTCTCGCTGCCCCCCCGGGGAGCCAGGGGCGGGGCGGCTCCCTCAGTGCTCGGTGTGTGGGGCCCGCCCTGTCTGCGGGCTGGGGGGGGACCCCCCTCCCCTCCCCGGCTCGCTCAGGCTGCCGCCGCCGCGCGGGCGGTTCCAACGTTTCTGCGCTGCCGCCTTCACGCTCTGGCACGTGTCAGGCCTGCCTGCGCTGCCGCCTTCCAGCCGCGTACCCGGCCAGGCGCTCTCCTGGCAGCCCCCATCAGTCACCGCTGTCTGCTGCGCCCATGGCCCAGGCCCCGGGAGCGCACCCGCGTGTTCTCCCTCAAAGAGATCCGGGCTCAGCTTCAGCAGGCGGGACTGAGTTACCCCGGCTTGTCAGAGGAGCAGTGGCTGCCCTTGAGGCAGCTCTAAATCTCTTGCTGTCCACTGTGTTACAGTATTAGTCTGTTGGCATAAAATAAGCTGCTTTTTTTAGTGATTTTGGACAGAACTATCAACATGACGTTCAAGGCATCAGGTTAGGGAAGAGAGGGAATAACAACTATTGAAATGGGCAAATATTTCAAACTGAGCATTGTCAGATAAAACCAGTCAAGATCTGCCTTGATAAGTGCACATTTCTCTCCAAAAAACAGACATGCTTTTGACCTTAATGCATGTCAAGAGTTCAACATAGCCTTTATTAATCTGTAATCTTAAAAAATTATAAAGGCATAGTCAATTTAATCACTCTTCCGTCTGAATTGTTTTATGAATTGTTACAAATGGCATGTAGTCTCTTCAAATTATTGTGATCTTAAGAGGGAATCCTCCCACCCCTCAATTGACAGCACTTTTATGTAGTCAGTTTCACTCTTTCCCCCCTGTTGTCAACTAGTCCCTGCTTCTGCAAAGATTTATGCATGTACTTAATGCACTCTGAGTAGCTCCATTTGAAGTCAGGGGGAGTACATACAGTGCATAAAGTTAAGCACATGCCTAAATCCTTGTAGAATTGTAGCATGTCAGTTTCTCCCTTGTTGAAAAGAACCTAAAACATCAATGGGGAGTAGACTTCTAAAAAAATAAAATTTCAGAGTTGCTAGGAACATTATTATGAGTCTACTGTCCATCTAATGAAGCAGATATTTGTTTTAAGGGTGAAAACTATAGTAATCGTGCATAACTATGGTTTGAAACCTAAAATTTGTTCAGCTTTTTCCAGGAGTGTATTGAAGTTAACTTTTTATCTTACATGTGAACTTCTTACAATATGTTCATTACCAAACTGATAGGCTGTTATTGTGATGATGTTTTTGGTGGTAATGATGTGAGAAACAATTTAACGGGCTTATTTAAAAGTTAACAGTTACCATTATTCAATATATGACATCAAATGAGATGATACCTGCCAGAATGTTTGGCATGTAGCAACTGCTGTGTAGTGTAGGTGTTTACAAGTGAGGCTTCTTACTGTTTGTGTAAATCTAATACTTCTAAGCGAGCATTAGCAGCGCATTGCAGATCCAGATTGCAAGCACAGTACTTGTTTATCTGCTTAAATAATAATGCTCTTCAAATAGTTATCAAGCATCTACTAGTCAGAGGCAAAAATAAAACACAGTGTGACAGAAGGGTGCATCAACATGGTTTAGGTACAATGCCCGGGTAAGAAGCCCAGCCCATCACCAGCTGCTGGGAAGGGTGCTGGTATTCTTAATAGGATACTGTTCCTTGATTCTGTTTGTGGATCTCTGCTTTCTCTTGCTCCATGCCCACCTCAGAGCTTCCTGTTTAGCTTGTGTAATGTGAATAGTAGGGATGGGTGCCACTCTGTCTTTCCTCCAGCCTCTTGACTATTGCTGGTGTCGTCTCTGCCAGTCTACTATCCTGTGCCTCTGTTTTTGAGTCCTCCTCCAATATTAATATGTCCAATTCTTTGCTGTTCTGTTTCTTATAGATTTCCCAAGCAATAAGAGTGATTTGTGTCACTTTCTGTTGCTCGCAGGGTTAGCAGAATGAATAGCTGTTTTAAAACCAAACTTTTACATTTTACTTTGCTGTTCAAAGATATTATCTTAAGTGACAGAAAGTGAACTGTTCCATGTTAGACTCAGTCTTAGACTTAAAGACAGCACTGCACAAATTCCCAGTTGGAAGGCTATCTTCATAACTATCAAGATAGAACCTTTTTTAAACAAATGGTTGTTTAAATTCTGCACAAATCGATGATTTAGGTTGTCACGCTCATCAAGGAAAGCTTTGTGCTCACCACTGGCCAAGAGGTAGGTGAGACTATGTTTCAAGTTCTGGGCAAACTTAGCAGAAGTACAGAGTAGCCTATTATTAATTTTACTGAATGCCTGCCTCCCCCTCGTTCCCATAAAATCAGACTTATCCATGTGGATCCAGTCATTTATATATGATGGCTAAATGTAAGTTTCACCACATTTTGCCATCCTAGGCATTAATTATAGATGTTTTTCTCATGAACAGTGAAATATAAAGTAAATGTTTGGTAAATATTTCTCTTGTTTTTTTAAAACTCATGTAGAGAGCAATATTATTGTTGAATTAATCATGTTTTGAATATTTAACAAAGAAAATTTGTTCAACTGATTATGGTATTTATATATATATATTTGACTTGACAAATGAGGTGCTTCACTTGTTAACCTATAGGTTTTTTCCCCCAAACATTTCCTTGCACAATGCAAAAACTGTATTCTGTTTTAATTTCTTATCTAGATTTCATCGATTTCTTGATGTAAGCAGTCACAAAGTAGAGAGGACAATAGAGGGGTAAGTTTGTCTTATTTTTACTATGTTGATTAATTCTGTTCATTTGAAGCATTCATTGATAGGATTTATTTATTTTTAAATCAGAATTCATGAAAAGCTGATTGTTCATTCAGACCTCAGTAAAGCTGCAAGCTGGAAAAGACTAATAGAAAAGTTTCTGAACTCACCACTTCTGAGCACTGAAGAAACAAAGGTGTGTAACTTTTTCTTCTTTGTTCTAATTTCTTTGCATTTATCCTGATGCTGGTCACTTTGTAACAGTTTTAGACCAGAAAGTACAAATGAGTTACATTACTACTAAGAAAAGGAGTACTTGTAGCACCTTAGAGACTAACCAATTTATTTGAGCTCATGCTCAAATAAATTGGTTAGTCTCTAAGGTGCTACAAGTACTCTTTTTCTTTTTGCGAATACAGACTAACACGGCTGTTACTCTGATTACTACTAAGCTATATGATTGCTACTCTGTGAGCTGATTTTTAAAATTATAACCTACCCTCTCCCTATTACTAAAATATGTATTTATTGGGCATCTATTACCATGTGTCTGGGTGCACTTTTCATGGCTTAAATTTTATCATTAACATTGCAGATAAGAGGCATAGAGCTCCACATTCTGAGTTGCATGAACATTTTTGATAGGACAGAGGGGGAATCTAGTCGGTCATCTTAAGTAAACAGGATTTCATAGTTTTCAGTTGAAAAACTGTGTTGAGTCCCAGATCAGTTTATGGCTTCTGCTGGATTAAAACTGTGTGCTCTCACTTGGACCATGTCACTCTGGTTCCAGTGTGGTTGTTTTGAACCTGTTCTAGTTGACCTTTGAAGACTGAAAGCTGCTGCTGTTGTGAAATGCAGGCCCCTGAGCTGGCTAGAGACACGCTCTATGATGTCATACTATTTAGTAGGGCTGTGTGTTTCCTAATGCCTGTGCTTAGACCCTTAACTTAATTTCTAATTTAACTGAACTGTGACCTTTCTTTGGACTGGTTTAGATTTCTCAATGTTGGAAAAAGGAACAACTATACAGTAGCAATGTAAATGCACCCTGAATTGCTATACTTCCCCTCTGGAGATTTTCAACGTATATGTACTTTTATTTATGTTGTTTTTAGTGATTAAAGTGTGATCCAGTCTACATGCTCAGAAATGTCAGGTTGTATTTAGCACTCAGCAGTGTTGTATAAGGTAATTGCAGTGACCTTTAGCAGTTGCTCTTGTTGATGAGTGAACTTGGGTGTCTCAAAGATGATTTTATAAATAAAGTACTTTGGCAGATTCTTGTAAGGAGAATGGTGTTAGCCTTAAAAAGGACTGTGATATTGTAATACAGCCTGGTGCCTACCAGGCTGCTTTTCTACTAATTTGATTTATGCTATTTTTTCCCTCCTATTCTTTGCCTGTGGCACACAATAGTTTAGTCTCCTGAGGGTAGTAGTACTTTGGTCTAATTTTAGTTGTTGGGTTTATTGTGCAGATAACTGGGTGCTGCTGGTGGTCTGTAATGCATAGGAGATCAAACTAAATGGTCTGGTGGTATCTTCTGGCCATAAACTTTGACTTTAATAGAAGTGCATGATTTCCTCTTAGCCCAGAAACAGCTTTTAAAAGGTATTTTTTAAATAAAAAAAGGTCAAAATATGTAGATGTCAGAATCATTAAATGGTTCCATTCACGAAGGGTGAGTGGCTGCTAATAGTCCTGTGTAATCATTGGCTGTATAGAAGAAATAAGTTTACAGAAGTCATTTAGAGTAAATGGATGAGGAGTCCTTAAAACCTCATGTAGACTTTTAGTTGAGGTGCTTTAATTTGTCATGTTTAGCATAATTTAAACAGGAATTTTAGGTGACTAGATTTTCAGTTTGTATTGGAACAAAATAAGTAAATTAGGATATCCATTAATTTGAGATGAGCTGTGAGGGCTAATACTACACACTGTGGCATACCAACATTCTAGTCTGTTCGTTTCCTAAAGTCTTTTAAACCATTTTATTCCATTTATTGATTTTTTTTCTTGTGTGTTTTTAAAGACAGATGCTCATTACGCCATACTATCTCTCTTACTGTGCTTGTCTGATTCTCCTTCCAACACCAGCTATGTGGAAAAGCCAAGAGATAAAGAAGTGGGTAGGTTACAAGATCTTTATATTTGAAATGAAAAACATATAGACAAGTGACAATCTGATAGGACTTTTTTTCCCCTTTACAGTCTTATAACATCATGTCTTAATTCATTTTGAGATCCTCTACTGGTTATCTTTTGTGGGTTTTTAATCTTGTATCTAATTTACCTGTACATCTAAGACACACTGGAAACTAGAAGGCTTGGGGGTGGGGGAAAAGGTTAATGTTGTGACTTTCTCATCTGGGTTGCTCGTTCAAATCCATCCCCGTTGGTTACTATCTGAGGGCCATTTGGTGTGTTGTTTTTAAATGAGCCTGTGATCTCTCTTCTGTTCCCACAAGTGGGAAATGACTATCACAGTTAATACCCTCTCAGCAGAGGGGCCAGTGAGTGAAATATTCTGTCACTTGTGGAACCTCTCTGTGATGTTTGATGCATATTGGTGAGCTTGGAGGAAGCTTTCATTACTGCTGTATCTGCTGTGTGAGTAAATAAAGGACTTCACTTTCCAACAGTGTCTGTCCTGACCATTTCATTACACTGAACTGAGCCAAAAATAAAATCTATCTAAAACTAGTAACTTTGTATGTAATTTCACATAGGATAGTTATGCAGTAACTTGACATAATACAGTTTGGTTATTTCCGTAATCTTTTCATTTTAAGTTAAAAATACTGCTTTTCTGTTCTAACCAATTTTAAACTTGGCAACATCTAGTTATCCACTTTAACTTACCAAGAGTTAATTTTATGTAGTCTCCCGGTTTTGTAGTAATGTTGTACGATTTCCCTGTGTTTCTGACTATAAACAAAAGGTGGTAAATTTACTAGCCCCAGTGGATCAAGAATAAAAGGATGAGAAGAATGGAACACATGAGAAAAATGTGTTTGGGATACCACACATCCTTGTGGTATTCATTTGCAATGCTGAAAAATAGCCATTTAAAAAAAAAATGGTTTGAAACAACATTTTAGTCTAGAAACTGGGGGGGGGGGGGAAGGGAAGGGAAGAAGCCACGTATCTTAAAATTCTTTTTAGAGTGGCCTCTGCACCTTTCCACTCTTGGAACGCACTGGTGATGCAGCTTGGACTGTATTGTCAGCACATCCCAAGAGTGTGAACATGCAGAGGTCATCTAAGAAAATTCCAGTTACAAGTGAGTAACCTTCCTATTGGATTAAAGTATATTATGTTATATGGTTTGTGTGATTATTATTTTATTTTAAAAATATTTATCTATAGCACTATGGTTGTACATATTCTTTTACACAGAAGGAAAGACAAGTTACCTGCCCTAAGTAATTTACAATGTGGTTCCCTGATCCTGCAAAGACTTGTCCATTTGTTACTTTTTTTAAATCTACACCACGAATAAAAACCCATGGCACTGAGTCACAAAGCCCAGGTCATTTGGTGTATCTCTTGTCAGTCTGCACCTTTAGAAAAATTTCCAAGTCTTGTTATAGAGGAAGTTGGAAATAAGCACAAAAATATTGAGTCTCACTTGTATTCCTTTTAGAAAAGGAAGAAGAATTTGACTGGGGAAAGTACTTGATGGAAGGTGAAGAAATTGATTTTGGTCCTGACATAGACACACCAGTAAGTAATATCTTAAAAGTGACTATGTTCTTACAGACAGTATATATGATATTTAGGATTATAGACGTTCACAAAAGCAAATAATTTATGGCTTGTTGATGTAGGGAGCTATAGCTATGGCAGGGCACATTCTTTCTAGAGCAGTGGAGAGTCAGGAAATCAACTAATGTTTTAAATCACAGAAGGGGAGGCTGTATCATGGTGGACAAAAACAATTGTTTAGATTTTTTTTATCAGTTTTTTTTATTACAGGTTTATTTTTTTAAAATGTCAAATTCTAATTTAATTTTTAATCTGTTAAGGCCTAAATTTAATCTGTTAGAATTTTTTCTATTTAAATTATTGTATTAAGCAGTACATGCTTGCTGCTGATGTTTTAAAGAGGGTCAGACCACTGAACTGGTGAAAGTCACTCCGTAAGCACTTGGAACCAGAGTTAGTTGAAGTGTTAAACCAGCTTTTTACTGCATTAGCTTCTTCTGCAGGTGCAGAAGCCTATTTTGTTCATTTCAGATCAATGACAAGCAAATCCAAGGTTAAGCTAATTGGCAGTTGGAAAAAGCCGGAAAGTTTGTTTGTCTCTTCCAGTCTAAGTAAAAATCAGGTGTTAGAGGATGAGATCTGCTATTTCTAAGATTTGAAGGACATGATGATTGGAAACAATTAATTCAATTCACTAACTACAGACAATATTTTCTTTGTTTAGATAAATCAGTCATTTTGAAATTCAAAATGTATTTTTATAAACTTTGATCAACTTTTTGTCTTATCTATCCAGCAGGTTTGAGTTTTTATTTAATGAAAAATGTTTGTGCATTTTGATTGAATTTCCATCCAAATAGAGCTTAACACAAATCACATGTTAAAAAAAAAATTAAACAGTAAATAAGAACATAAAGAATCCAAGAATGGCGATACTGGGTCAAACCAAAGGTCCATCTAGCCCAGTAGCCTGTCTGGTGAGAGTGGCCAATGCCAGGTGCTTCAGAGGGAATGAACAGAACAGGAAATCATCAAGTGATCCATCCCCTGTCCCCATGGCAAACAGAGGCTAGGGACACCATCCCTGCCCATCCTGGCTAATAGCCATTAAAATGCATCCTTCGCCATTTTTGAACATAAGTAAAAATTAAGCATCTAAATAAATGTAAGTTACGTTATATAATTGCTTCAGTAAATGTGTATAGATAATGTATCCTAGTTAGTGTATCCATGCTGCACCCAACCCTGACACAGTGCAAGGGCTAGTCCTGCCCCAGAAACACCCCAGGGCTCTGCACCAGGTGTGTGCAGGCAGGCTTAGCCCAGCAGGATCCAAATGTGGAGGGATTTAGTGTGCGGGGGATCCAGGTGTGGGGCAAGAGGGTTCTGTGTGGGGCAATCTGGATGTGGGCAGCTCAGTGGGGGGGGTCCGCATGCATGGGCAATGAGACTCTTTGGGGGGAGGGGGATCCAGGTGAAGGTGGTTGGGGCTCAGTGCAGGGGGGGCGGTCTGGGTGTTGGGGGAGTGGGACAGGGGTCCAGGTGCAGTTGGTTGGGGGTCTGGATGCTGGGGGCTCATCGGGGTGGTCCAGGTGCATAGAGGTTGGGGCTTGGTGAGAGGGTATGTGTGCAGAGGGTTCATGGGGGTGGTGAGGCTCAGCGGAGGGTCTGGGTATGGGGGTCTGAATGCACAGGAATTGGGTGGATGGGGAGGCTGCTCCCCCTACAGTGACCCCTTCCCCTGTGGCTGAGGAGCGATGGAGACAGGAAGAGGGGGGGGAAGTGAGGTTGTGGGGCCAGGGGAGGTTTCTGGGGTGGGGTGCGTCTGACCCGGCCCTGGCTACTCCAAGCAGGGGAAGTGTGCTCCTCCCCAGCCCAGCTGGGACTAGCAGATGAGCCTGATACAGGGTAGGAGCTACTGGCTGGGACATGCTGGGTGCAGGGGGGTGTCTGGGTGCGGGGGACGAGGTTTGGGAGGTTGGGGTTTGTGTATGAGGGGGTCCGGATGCATGGGAGTTGGGTGGATGGGGGGTGGGTCTGACCTGGCACTGGCCGAGGCGTCCCCAGCACCACCCCGTCCCCCTACCACCCTGTCCTGCAGTGATTTACCTCTCTGGGGCTGCTTCAGGCACCCGAAACGATGCACCTGCCCTGTAGGTAGCTTCCCTTTGTAGTCACTCTTGTAGCTTCCCTTTGCTTCCCTGTCAGAAAAACATTTTTCTGAGGGGAAGGAAAGAAATCTGCCGTGGACATGAATTCTGCGCACGACCAGTGGTGCAGAATTCCCGTAGGAGTAAGATATGTAGAAATACAAGGTCACTGCTCGGAAAAGCTTACTATTTTGATGATGGCTGTAACTTAACAGTTTGGCTCATGTTATAAATAAATTTTGGGGAAAAAAATCAAATGATTTTCAGGGTTCCTTTTAGTTTCCCTCTTGCCCTTTTTTTTTTTTTTTTTTAAGTGGAAGACAGAAAGTAGACATGTTACATTGACTTTCCCTGCCAAGAAGGACTAAGTATACTTCCTTTCCTCAGGCACATTACACTAAAAATGTACTTGGTCTTGTCATACTTGACAGGATTGGTCTGAAGAAAGTGAAGAGGAGGAGGATGCTCAACAACCTCTGAGCAGGGAAGACTCTGGCATTCAAGTAGACAGGACACCACAAGAAGAACAAGACCAAAACAAGAAAACAGTGTCTCAGGTCACATGGAAAGGTTGGTTGTTCAAAATTCTCTTCATAGAGGGATCTCATAACAAATGAATTCCAAATAAATGATTCTCACTCATATGTAGCTACCTAATTCTTCCATAGTTGTTCTATATTAAAGTGCTCTGGTATTGTCACTATAGTTAAGGTTTTGAGTTTGGTTATGTATTATAGTTACTCTTATCAGAGTAAAATGGTAATGCCTCATTTGTGTGTAATGAAGGTTTGATCCAATTTCCATTAAAGTCAATGGAAAGACTTCCATTTATTCCTATGGGAGTATGCACACCAAGGCTGCAGTAGGGATAAATGCACATCAGATAAACACAACTTAAATATATCTAGACATAATACAAAGCTTGTGTTATTAAATGTTAACACTGAAATAAAAGCAGATATTAAGAAAAACATTTGTTGTGTGCTTGGGTATAGTATAATTCAATGAATGAAAATGCTTGTAATAAATAGGACACTAATGGCTCCCCTTCAGATTGGTTTCAGTCGGTTTCCATGACAGCTGTGAAATTATAGGAAAGCGCACAATAGGATATTGCACCTAGAATAGAAGCTGGTTATCTGTGAGGCTCAGTGTCATGGGGGTTGGAACTAGGAAAAATAATTTGTAGGTAATGTACTGAGTGCCTAGTATTAGGGGCACACTGACTATTGGGTGAGCTTACTGGTATTTGGCACCTTACTTTGTTACCTTTAATATAGGTTTTGTATATATTGTTTCAACAATTGTCTAAAATAAAGTACATTGCCTTAAGATGGAAAAATATATAAATATTAAAATACCTCATTTTTAGGGCCTGATTTTCAAAAGGTCAGGCACCTGTGTGTGTAAACTAACTTATAATTGCAATTACCATGATTGTACATGTAATAAGTGCAAACAGAAGTAATTAGCCCTTTAATTGAATGCAGCTGTATCCTGAAGCCAATTCATTGTTTGGTTGCTTATTGGTGAGACTTTTTTGTCTTTTATAAGCCCTCCTTACATAAATGAAAATCCTTCACTGACTATCAAATGTCTTACCAGTGGGTGAGCCTGATGCGCGCAGCTGGCTGGAACAACATGTGGTTCCTCAGTATTGGACAGGAAGAGCTCCTCGTTTTTCTCACAGTTTGCACCTACATTCCAATTTAGCTGCTGTCTGGTAAGAAAAAAAGAACACTTACATGTTCACCGCTGATATTAAATAAAGCCAGATAATGGTTTAATGAATGAATAATGATTTTCATTAAGCTGTGATACTGTTAAAATGTAAAATGTGTGTACTCTTCCAAAATATGGAGTTAACATTCGTTACTAATTTAGTTTAAAATATATTTATGTATTGAAAACTAAGTAAGTGCAAATTGAACAAAATGAGCCAGTATAATTTTAGCTTTTGCTTATTGTGCTGAACAGTCATAGTTCTCCCACCCCAGTAAAAATGCATAAAATGTCTTGTGTGTTACTGTCCTTCCCAATGTTAGAATTTAAAACAAAGCAAGTGCTGTTGTGTCTATCACAAATTCCAAATCTCAGTTTGGACAAACTTCACATGTGTAGGGCAATACCAGATTGTGATTTGGTTTGTGCACACATTCACTGCCAGTGAACGTGTTTGGCTTCGTTGAATTTTGAGCTAAGAAATTGTATAAATAACTAGTCTTATCAGTGATAAAAATGAATTAAAATACTAAAAACTTCAATAATCATAACATATTACACTAAAATCTTTTAATCTATCTACCGGTAAAGAAATCATGGAAGGTCTATGAATAATTGTAGAACTTTTCCCTATGATCCTGTATTCATATTTAGAGGTGAAGGAATTTCCATTCCCTTTGCAAGTTTTTGAGATAGCATGTGTTACTTTGAGGTGGAGGTGGGATTTGTGGGTTATTTGTGATCCAATTTTATGGTTACTTGTGACTTTAATATATTTAAAACAGCTACATGTTCTATTTGATAATCATTGAGTCAAAAAATGTATTCATCACATTACTATGTATGGTATTGGATATTAAGTAATTAAACATTTGAGAGTTGGAATATTAAAATTAATTTAATACTTCAAATATTTGCTAGTTAATGGTTGTTGGGCTATGACTGGATAATATTTTGGTGACTTTTCATATTTTTTTGCCTCTAGAAAGGTTTAGAGTCAAACTCTGCTCTTGTTTACAGCCTCCACAACTTCATTGAAGTCTTTGAAGTCAGAGGTGTAAATTAGAGGAAAAATGAGCCTTAAGATTACTGCTTGATTCTTATTTGTAAACACTTCAGCTGGGATTTCATTTTTTTTAATTATAGTACATTTTCTTCTTTTAGGGACCAACACTTGTACAGCAGTGATCCCTTATATATGCCAGAAGAAAGAACTCTTGTAACTGAAACACAGGTTATCCGGGAAACTCTCTGGTAAGCAGGAATCCCTGAAATACTTGCATATGAAATTTATTTCATATTAAAATGATAAAAAAAAATCTTGCATCATAGTGTTTTTCCTAGGAGACAGATTTGCAGTTGGCTTTCAGTGTCAGAAAAGAAATATTGCTGTGTGCTTTCTTTCTAATCTGTGCACCATCACCAGTAGTAAAGATTCTGTAATTGCAATTTTCTTAATAGTTTTAATGCACAAGCCAGAAAATAAGCCAGCTCACTCTTTCATAACTGTATTGACTGTGCAGTACAAAAAAACTTATTTTTGTCATTTACATTGAAAGAACTCAATGCACAAACAGAGTGTAGATTTGTTGAGTAAAAAGATGTCATTTTATTTTTCTGACTATAAAAATACTTTAAAGCTCAATTCAAGTGAGGGTTAGGAGGAAACCTCTAAAAGAAAGAGCTGAAACCATGACCGTATGTTCTGTTGGAGATGTATTTCTGATCTTCAGCAATATCGTTTACATTCTCTGGGTCACAATGGACCCATTATTGCTCTGATTCGCAGGTGACAATAGTGCCACATAGTTATGCTACTATGCCCTCTATTTATTCCAAGCTGGCCTAGTGGTTGCAACCATTTTTCTCTGATTTTTACATTGTCACAGTGATCTGCTCCTTTTCAGTATCAGTGCTAGATTTCTATATTATACTCGACTTAGAGCCACCTTGGAAAGGTACCTGGAAGTTTCAGCTTGTAAAAAATGCTGGCATCTCTTAAGTATGACAAGTTGCTGCTTCAGAACTTTTTTGGCTTCCAAATGCAATTTACAATGTAGGTTACAATTTAGTAAACCTTATATGGCCAGCTGAGGGTTTGCCTCTCTTATGCTGTGTCTTAACACAGCAGTAACAGTCCATCAGTTCTTGATGTTAAATGCTTAAGATATGGCTGACATTGTGATGTGCACTGGAGGGCCCACATCTTTGAAACTTTCTTCCTTTAACAATCTACCAGACATGGGTTAGTTGAGCTTCAGAGAAGTTTAAGACTTTTGTGTCCAGGTTTTTTCTTATCCTATAGGTTTGCCACTGACAGGATTTGAGGATGTTTTAATGATTTTTAATTCAAAATTTTTTTGTTGTGATAATTGTTGTTAGGGATTCAGTTGTCAGGCTGGAAATCCAATTTATAAATATTTATGTATAATAATGTAAATTATCTTAAATGAATTTTTAGAATTTACAGAAAGTAATTCCCAACATAAGGCTTTTTAGGACAAAAATTTAACCTGATGTCCCATTCTTTGTGATAAGGTCCACAAATTTGTTAAAATGGTGCTTCAACCGTCTTGCAGTTTGGGGGCAGAACCTGATTTGCCAGTCATTTTATGATACTAGAAGGTTCCTCAGTTTTCCCCAATCAAAATTTAACCTGGTTTCAGGTTACAGTCTCCAATCAGATGAGGGTTTATTTTATTTGAAGTTAGGAGCTTTCTCTAATGAGAACAGTATTGTACTTTTAATGTAGCCAGTTAGTCCCCAAACTGTCATTCCCTAAGTAAGTTCAAGAAATATTCCTCCTCTGGTTGAGCATCAAAGTCCTGTCTTTAGGAGCATTAGCAATCTCAAGGCAGAGTAGTTACGTCTCCTGCATTGAGATCTGTTGGGCAGCCATTAGTTCACCAAAGTCTGCATATTGGTAATTGAATCTTGGCCAGTGCAATTTATTTCCTTTTGGTTAATTCTTCTATATGCCCTAGTGCCCAGCAGAAGGCGGAGGAGATATTTATGTATTATCTACCTAGTTTTGGAGGTCCATATTTAAAGGATGATTCTACTCCACATTCTGGAGGAACACTGCTATGAAAATCCCACTGTAACATATCTGGATTTTAGCATGAAGAACAGGAAAATTTACCCTTGCTTAGCTGAAAAGATCTTTTTTTTGAGTAATATGATTCACAGATCTGGCTGACCATGGAGACAAATGGATCATCCAGATTAGAGATGGAAATTGTCATCCAAGGATTTGGGTTTGTTTTCATTATGTGAAATTTAAAATGTTTTGTTTTTTCTTCAAAGTATACTTGGGTATTCCCATGCTGCCAGTGACTGACAGGTCTAGTTCCGTTCCCAGACTGCAAGCAGGCTGAAGTACCATTGTAATGAATCTGTGGATTTTATTACTTTGAAGAAAAAATGGCCATTGCTGGAGATGGAACACTAGACTGGGGGGACTGATGACCTGAGGTTGTATGGGGAATTCTCTTTCTTAGGTGCTTGGCTGGTGGGTCTTGCTCACATGCTCAGGGTCTAACTAATCACCATATGTGGGATCAGAAAGGGATTTCCCCCCCAGAGTAGATAGGGGAGGGACACTGCAGGGAGGGTTTTCACCTTCCTTTGCAACATGGGTCACTTGCTAGGATCATCTGAATTTATACCACCACATCAGTTCCTTGCCAGTGCAAGGGCCTCAGTTATTGGTGCACCTTGGTCCATTTTGTTCTCTACTTGTGGCAGTCAGTTGTTGAGTTTCTTGAGGGCTGTAGTACTTTGATCTAATTCTGGTTGTTGGGCTTGGCATGGCAGGGGCTGGGTGGTATTTAGTGGCCTGTGATTTTACAGGAGTTAATTCTGGATGATCTGGTGGTCCCCTCTTGCCTTAAACTCTGACTTTAAGGGTATGTCTACATTTTGAGTGGGGGATGATTCCCAGCTTGACGAGACATACCCATGCTAGCTCTGACTGAACTATCACATTAAAAATAGTGTGTAGCCACACTGATATGAGGAGCGGGAAGGGTTAGCTGCCTTTAGGATAATCCCATTCAAGATTTTAGGCATGGACTCGGGGCTGCTCGTACCACTGTGGCTATATTCTGTTTTTAGCACACTAATTTGATCAGAGCTAACGTGTTTGTCTACTGGAGCTCGGAATCACACATCCAGCTCAAAGTGTAGACCTACCTTAAGAAAGGAAATTTTCAGGTAAGCAAGACTAAATTTTCCTCTTAAGGATTTGATTTATATTTTCTAATCCATATAATTATGATGAATTTGTTTTTAAGAATGCTCATCTTTTCTTGCTTTCCAGGCTTCTTTCAGGGGTGAAAAAGCTCTTTATATTTCAGCTAAATGAGGGAAAGGTGACTGTGAGAAATGACATTATTGTAACTCATTTGACCCATGTAAGTTATTTGATCAACCTGGGTTGATTTTATTCAAATCATAATTTAATATACCTGTCTTCAGAGGGCTTGAATATTTGGGGGATAGGAAACTAAACTTCCTGTGGAAAAATAGCAGTGTTTCCACACCTGTTTTTAACTTAAGCAACACACATTTGGATTTAATAAAACAAAACTGAGTGGGCGGATGCCATAAAAGATGATAATTCAGTGATAAACATAATTTTACTATCTCTTAAATTCAGTAGTCATTTTACCTTTTGTATCTCTTGGGATTTCTGGTCTTGAAAAAGGATTAATATTCATTAGATAATTCTGAAAAACCTTATTTTGTAGAACTGCTTAAGATCAGTGTTGGAGCAGATAGCAGCATATGGACAAGTTGTGTTTAGGCTGCAGAAGTTCATTGATGAAGTGATGGGGCACAGCTCAGAAAATGTAATACCTGGAACCATTTCCACTCCCAAGAAAACTACAGAACCCCCATTTAGAACCTACCAAGCTTTTATGTGGGCCTTGTACAAGTACTTCATTAGTTTCAAAGAAGAACTTACTGAAATTGAGAAATGCATAATCAACAAAGGTACAGTATAGGGGATATTTAATTTATAATAGGAAAATGTGAGAATGTTGTACAAATAAGATTAAACTATGAAAATAGTTGTATAAAATGCTATACAATATTTAAAAATTATATAAACTTGCTAAAAATGGTTATCTTTGTATATTTTTGGTTTTGCAGACAAAACGGTCACTCTTTCAATAGTAGTAGATAAGTTGTCACCTCGACTGGCACAGCTTAAGGTACTTCACAAAGTTTTCAGCACAGGGGTAGCAGAAGTACCACCTGACACTCGAAATGTTTTAAGAGCATCTCATTTGCTTAATACACTCTACAAAGCTATTCTTGAATATGACAACGTTGGAGAAGCATCTGAGCAAACAGTATGTCAGATCTATCTTTTTATTTTATTATGACACACAGTAACTAGAATATTGTTTAACAAGTTTTTATGTGAAGTTTACCACTGAAGAATTGATTTATAAGTCTGTTAGGTCACAAATGAAGTACATGTCTTGGTCTCATCCTATTCTCCAGTTATCTACATTATAAACCACACAATCTGCTGTGGCTGGCACTTTGTGCTCAAAAGAGACTTAGGACTGGAAATAATGAAGGTTGCTGGTTAGGACTGAAGGGCATTGAGAAAGAAGTGTGGAGAAGGTTGCAGGGTGTCTGCTTACATTTAACTGACTGCACGGCATTGCTTTTAGTTCAACATTATGTTTGGTCAAGTTTTTAAAAAAATAGTATGTACACACGTATACTATAAATATATATTTGCACAGTTCTTTAGATTGGCTTCTCTGCAGTGTATAGTAGCTATTTTATTTGAAATAGTATGTGTAATTTTGCCCGACATTTATAAAATCGCACAGCAACTGGTGTTTACTCTTCATTTCAGGTATCCCTCCTCTTTTCTCTCTGGGTTGAAACAGTAAGGCCTTATTTGCAGACAGTGGATGAGTGGATTGTCCACGGTAACTTGTTTGATCCTGCTAAGGAATTTATCATTCAGAGGTATGGATGATGATATTGAACGGATCAAAACATTGTGGCCTACATAAACATTATAACTGTTGAAGAGACAAACTGGATGGTGGCATGACAATAATTTCATTTGATAAAACAGCTAGAAATGATCTGATTTTTTTTTTTAAATCCTACTTTTTTAAATCTGTCTCTAGTCTACATTGGGAGAAATGACATGAGGTAGTGAGACAGTGACCCTAATAGTTGTTGATATGGTATAGAAATAAGTTAATTTTGAAAAAAGCAGAATTAAAAATACGAAGTTGCCCATCAAACCACAAATATTCAGATTTTTTTAAAAAATCTGATCAATTATTTTCCTAAATTAATGTGTCCATAATAAAAAAAAATTGTTTTTTTTCCTAATGCATGGCAAGATAGTGATATTAAACCTATTGCTATTTGGAACAGAAACATAAGATAAAACACTGTCTTGAGTTATTTGCATACTCCTTTCAGCATCAGTTAGAAGAATTAGTTCTGTTTGCACATTACATTTTGATGATCCGTTTTTTACAGTATAGTAGTTTAAAATACAAAAATGCAGAAATACTAAAATTTTGTATTATAGCTGTCATAGCTATTAAGCTTTTTTTTCCCCACTGTGTAGTATTACTCACGCTTTTTTCTAGCTGTTCAACAAGTAAGGGCAATTGGTTAAAAAAACCTAAGTACTTTGCATGACCTGTGGAAGCACAGATTGTTTACTGTGGAAGAAGATTAACTGCTGGCACCAGAACTTTTACCTTAATAACGTTGTTGTGTCCTATTACATATCTTTTCCTTTCAGTCTAAGACTTTCAGTTAAAACAGGGCTCTCGCCTATTTGGGATGGCATTAATGTACAATTAGATTATTTTTAGCAGTTAACTAACAGTAATTGAGTAGGAAGCCTTATCTGTAAATTTAACTTCTCATGAGAATTGTTTTACGTGTTTTTTACTGGGATGTGCTAAAACAAAAGCTATTGAAGTATTATAGTGCATCTGTTGGGTATTAAATTTTGAGGTATTTCAGACACATGTGCGTTATCTGGTATTCAGTTTCACTTTTTTATTTGTATGGAGACTCCTACATAGTGATGTAGGGTTTTTCTATTTTATTTATTAAACCTAAAAGCATCAGTCATTTGTAATTAAAGATCCATGGCACTTAGAATAATTAACTTCCTGAATAAATTCCAGTTTGAGCATTTGGTCTGGTTACTTACTTTTCTCCTGGATTTCAGTTGTATGTATTAGTGTAATGGCATGGCACCCGTCTCGCAGGAGCACCCCTTCTGGGCAGGTGTGTCTGTGATCTTTAAATAGTTCAAGCCCTGGTATTGGGCTAAACCACCAGGGTTTGCTCTCTGAAGGCAATAGTTTTGCCCTCTGGGTCTATCCTGGTCTAAGATCTCCAGTTGGGCTACTAAGTAGTTCAGTTCCCCTTCTGGGGGTTTATCAGTGTCTGGTTGTAGACCAGTTCTCCATGGCCTATGCGGGGGATCCAGGCCCACCCACTACTCTGGGTCTCAGTCCAGGAACGCTAAGAATAGCAGCCACGTGCCACCATGTCCCTTTAGCAAAACTGCCTTCAATTCCAAGGGCCACTTCCCCATGGTCCCATCTTCACCAAAGCTTCACCCTTACCTCAGGGCTCATCTAAGTTCAGGCTCAGGAGCCAGCACTGAGTTGTCCATGGTGCTGCAGTTCCCTTTGGCCAGCCAAGAGCACTATATGTACTCCTCCAGCTCCAGCAAGGAACTGACTGTCTCTGGCTCTGCTACTCCATTTATATGGCCCTCCTGGGCCCTGATTGGCTGCTCCCTGAAGCCTATCTGTCTGCTTCCCCGCAGCTACTCTAGGCTGCTTGGAGGACTACTGTTCTGCTCCTTTCTTGGGATGGGTGTGGCAGGACACTAGTCCACCCCATCACAAGTAGTCTCTTGTTTCTTGTTCTAATAATCTATTGTGCACTGATTCTGTGCAATGTTAAAGTTACCATCATTCTAGAGATGACTGTGTGTCAATCACAGGTGAAGTGATTACTTTGTGTGAGTTATTCAATAAAGATATTTGCAAAGTTCTTCACTTAGAAAGGAAAAATCAAATACCCAAATACAGAATGGGGAATAATTGGTGGTAGTACTGCTGAAAAGGATTTGGGGATTATAGTGAATCACAAATTGAATGAGTCAACAACAGGACACAGTTGCGGAAAAAGCTAATGACATTCTGGAGTGTCTGAACAGGAGCATTGTGTGTAAGACACAGAAGGTAATTGTCCTGCTCTACTTGGTGCTTGTGAGGTGGAGTACTGTGTTCAGTTCTGGATGTCATACTTTACGAAAGGTGTGGACAAATTGGAGAGAGACCAGAGGAGAATATCAAAAATGATAAGCCAGGTTTTCTAAACCTTCCATAATGGAAGACTGAGTGGGGACCTGATAAGTTTTCTTTGTAACAGCCCTCAACGTATTTGAAGGCTTATCGGTTGTTCTTCATGTCTGCAGAAGATAGGACAAGAAGTAATAGGCTTAATATGCGGCAAGGGAGATTTAGGTTAGCTGTTAGGAGAACTTTTCTAATTATAAGGGTAAGTTAGCTCTAGAATAGGCTTGCAAGGGAGGCTGTGGAATCCCCATCATTGGAGGTTTTAAAGAACAGGTTGGACAAACACCTGTCAGGGGTGGTCTAGACTTGGTCTTGCCTCGGTGCAGGGGACGAGGCTTGGTGACCTCTCGAGGTCCCTTCCAGTTCTACATTTCTATGATTCTGTCATTTCTATAGTGCTTTGGGATCATTCCAAATAGAAGGTGAAATATAAATGAAAGATTTATATTATTATTTAGTAGTGAAGCTTTATCTTTTTAAAAGGATAAAGTGTAACGATTTTCTCTCTCCATTGTAGAAACAAAAATGTCCCAGTTAATCACAGGGATTTTTGGTATGCTACCTACACATTATATAGTGTGTCGGAAAAGATGGAGAATGAAGAGAAAATGAGTGATAATGCCAGTGCCAGCTCTGGAAGTGATCAGGCTCCCTCAAGTAGGCAGCACACAATGGTCTCCTTTCTGAAACCAGTACTAAAACAAATCATCATGGCTGGAAAGTCCATGCAATTGTTGAAGAACCTTCAATCCAAAGATGATTCTCCATGGCAAGCTGCATCAAGAGGTGAAAATAAATTGTGTAAAATATTATTCTTGTCTGTGTCTAACAACATTTGTGTATTTAGGGTGTATTCGTGTTTCCACTGTTTAATAATCCACTGTTTAATAATCCACTGTTTTTAGAGCAGTGGTTCTCAAACTTTTGTACTGTCTGATTGTGACCCCCCCCCTTATAAATTAAAAACACTTTTTTATATATTTAACATCATTATAAATGCTGGAGTCGAAGCAGGGTTGGGGGTGGAGGCTGGCAGCTTGCGACCCCCCATGTAATACGTCGCAACCCCCTGAGGGGTCCCAACCCCCAGTTTGAGAACTCCTGTTTTAGAGTATATAACTCTCCTTATGCTGGCACTGTGTGGTTTGTAACCCACATCTGATTTGAAACAAATGGTTCTGTTCCAAAACCCCTGACACACGACAATGTGAGAACTGAATTTTTACCTTAATTCAGAATTTCTTTGCTTTTCTCAGTTTTAAGTTTCTCTTAAACATTAATTTAAATTCTCTCTTGTTACTTTGCACTATTTAAGATCTTTCTTCAAACCATAAAACTATTTTCTTATTATGTGATTAATCTATTGGTTCCCATTACTAAGTAGTTCATTGGTTTAGGAATGATAGGTAATAAATAGGATTCCTGATTTGAGGAAAGCCCGTTGATGATCTGCCCAAAGAGCTTGATATAACTGTAGGCATGCTGAATACTTGGAGTAACCATCATCAGTGATGGTACACAAAGGACAGTAGTGGGAGCTGTGATGTCTATTGTCTTCACATGGGACAATATAAATTTGCTATTTGTAGGTTATACAAGTCCCTTTCTATTTAAATGTAGAGTGAGGTGACTTTGAACTGTTTTGCAACCTCTTTTACATCTGTGTTATCCCTTTTGGCATGGGAGGGTAAACTGTCATTGAAAACAAGTTTTGTATTAATAGCTGACAGTTACTTTATATCCAAAGTCTTTAAGGGTTTAATATTTTCAGAAATATTAATTTCATATTTTAGGTTCCAGTTGAGCAAGATATTTCAGTATGTACCCAACATTAAGCATATAAATAGTCCTATTAATATCAATATTTAAAGTTAGATGTGTGCTTAAGTACCTTGCGAATCACAGCCTAGATTCTATTGATGCTGCATATGGAAATATAACAAGCAAAACTGGGTTTGTGTTAATCTCCTTAACTTAGTTGTTCTAGTATAATCAACATTGTTTCTTAGAATAATATTTACCATATGTTTTACTATCCACTTCAGATGCAGAAAGAAAGAGTTTGTACACACTATTTCTGGAGTCTGTGCAGTCCCGTCTGCGGCATGGGGAAGAATCTGTTCCAGATATTATTACAGAACAACAAGCTACAAAGCAGAGTTTGATAAAGATGCAGTCTATAGCAGAGAGACACTTAGAGCTGGATGATGTTCATGATCCATTGCTGGCTATTAACTTTGCTAGGTAATTGAACACCTGAAAGATAACTGATCTCACCACTGTGTTGTCAGAAGCCACAAGGCATCAACTTTTTGCTATTGCTGCTTAAAACAAACAAGCTCAGGAACAAGCCTAAAGGGGAGCATGGCTAAGTATTGTCTCAGGCATCTTATGAATGGCCAAAGGTTCATTATAAATATAAACTATTAAAATGAGTATTCAAGAACGGTTCTATATATGCCTACTACATCTAGCAGGACTTAAATGTTTTTAGTGAAAATGGGAACTGTCTCTAGCATGGCAAATTTTATTACAAAAAAAGTAGATATCATTTCTCGAATTATGATAGAACAAATGCTGTAGAAAAATGTAATATTTTTAATGTGTGTGCATGGCACATAATGTAAAATGTCTTTCATTTGAATCAACATGTTTCTTTTTGGCCTATCATCACAAAGATGTATCTTGCAAAATTCTACTGTGGTACTAATAGTAGTTTAAAACAAACCTTTCAGGAAAAAGGCCACAAAAATAATTGTTCCTTTGTGATAGAGTAATGTGAGGAAACTAGCAGAGCAGCAATAAGTTGATTTTAACAGTCTTACATAGGTCATAATAGTTAGTGGTGAGAATGTTAGCTATTTATTTCTGTTACGTACCAATAGGTAGATCTGTGTTCTGGCTTTTCAAAAAGAGTTCTAATGTAACAATGGTGCCTTTAGTTCTTGGTTGTATTTAAAAGCTTTCATTGTGAAGTTAACAACCTTACAGTTTAACAGGGTACAATGTATTATAAGAATACTGTAATTAATAGTTGAGCTATGTACATAATCTCTCTCAGTGGATGAGAATATTCTCTTAAAAGTTGATAGGCTGGTTAACTCAGTCCTTTTGTCGATCAAGACGATCTCTGCTCTGAAGTGATGGAAACCAGACTTGCACTACACTGATTTTACCCGTTGATAGCTTTTGCTGTACTGTAATGATGATTTTGACCCTACTCTGATAAACTAATTGGCTTTGGCTTACTAATGCTATGTTTACACTACAGCCTATGTCTGCAAAACTTATGTTGCGCAGGGATGTGAATATTCTACCCCCATGAGTGACAGAGGTTTCACCAACATAAGTGTTCGTGTGCACAGCACTATGTCTGTGGGAGAGCTTATGCTGCTTGCAGAGGTGGGTTTTTTTATGCCGACGGGAGAGCTCTCTCCTGTCAGCATAGAGTGTCTTCACCAGATGTGCTGCAGCGCACAGGTTTATCGGTACAGCTAAGCCACTACAGCACTGTACATATAAACATACCCTACGTGTTAAATGTCTGACGCAGAGATTTTCTAATGGTATAATATTATACCAGTTGGCCTTGGGTATTTAGTGGGGGAAAGCCCTGAGGCTACCGGAGCACTTTTCTTTGTCTGATTAAATTCTGTCCAGCTTTTGCTGAGATATATACTGTTACAAATTGCCATTTACCTTCTCTCACTTGTTTCTCTGGCAAATGTTGTTGACAATGTGCCAAAATAATAATTGGACAGGAAAATTTTAAGGCCAAGCTGCCGTTGCTGCCACGACAGCAGGCAGTAGCATGTGGTTCATTAGGAACACCAGGTTGCTGCTAGAGCTGCTGTAGCAGGGTAGAGGGAAAGGGAAGAGAAGAAAGACATATTGGGCTCCCCCTTCTCCCAGGTCGTCCCAGTGACCCATGTCCTCCACTGGAGGACACTATATGGAAACACCCACCTTCTGGTGAGGGTTGGAAGGGAGAGTGACTGTGTTTTTTTTCCCCCCATCACATGTTGTTACCTGTCTTCTAGAGACCCGATAGCTGGCTCCAGCAGCATATTTCCACCCCTGCCTAGGGCTGGAGTTCTCCTAACTTCCAAGGTTTGTCTTATCCCATTAAGAGAGAGATTATGATTTATGTGTCTGTGCGTTGAAGTAATATCCCCCTCTTACACCAGTACGCAGGCTACCCAAATCTATATTTGCCACTTTTGCGACTGCTACTGGAATACTATGTCCAGTTCTGTGTTCACAATTCAGAAAGGATTTTGATAAATTGAAGAGTGTTCAGAAAAGAGCCGCAAGAATGATTAAAGGATTAGAAAACATGCCTTAGTAATGATAGACTCAGGAAGCTCAATCTATTTAGCTTAACAAAGAGAGTGTTAAGGGATGACTTGATTACCATCTGAGTACCTACCTGGGGAACAAGTACTCGATAATGGACTCTTCAGTCTAGCAGAGTAGCGGAGAAATGTATAGCTGCATCCAATGGCTGAAAGTTGAAGCTAGATAAATTTAGACTGGAAATAAGGTGTAAATATTTAAGTGATGGTAACTAACCACTGGAACAATTTACTAAGGGTCAGAGTGGATTCTCCATTACTGGCAATTTTTAAATCAAGGTTGATTTTTTTTTTTTAAATATATTCTCTAGAAATTATTTTTGGGAAATTCTGTGACGTGTTATACAGGAGGACGAACTAGACCACGACAGTGGTCCTTTCTGGCTTGGAATATATGAAAACCAATAACCCCTTGTTTAGGCCTTATATGACAGCGTAGCCCTAAAAGACCATATAAAACAAATATTTTTCTTATTTATTGAGGTCTACAGTATTTGTACTGGTATTGCTTTTCAGAACTACAACAAGAACTGGCATAAACACAGTGAGTGACTAGGTGGTTATAGCACATCATCCAAACTAGTACTCTTATGCCTTGTTGTATGAATAGTCACTCGAAATAATGGGTTTGTCTGAGTTAAGGCATTAATATCCATTGAGTTACCAGTACTGGAATGAAATTTTTACTACTTTTTCAATGCCTTTTTTTTTAAGCAGAAAGCTAAATGAGACCACAAAGTTTTAAATGTATGACACATTCTGTTAGGTATGATATGGATCAGTTCCTTTCCAGCTAAACAGTGGTTTTTTTTATTTTGAAGGTTGTATTTGGAGCAAAGTGACTTTCATGAAAAATTTACTGGTGGTGATGTTTGCGTGGATAGATCCTCTGAATCAGTGACGTGCCAGACATTTGAACTGACATTGAGGTCTTGCCTTTATCCTCACATAGATAAGCAATATCTGGAATGCTGTGGCAACCTAATGCAAACTTTAAAGAAGGATTACAGGTAAGAAATGAAATTAGATTCTACTTAAAAAGCATATTCCATTATCATTGGTATACCATACTGTAAAAGCATCAATTATTTTGAGAAAATTGATTTGTAGTTGAAATCTTTTACAAACTGTTTAATCTTCTCTTCTAATTCTGCTGTGATAAACAATAACAAAAGCACTAATAAAACATGGAATTAACATAATATTTTCCAACTGTCACTCTATTCATTGTTCTTTTGTGTTCTATCCCTTTTTTCTGTATTGCCTACTTAAGCCTAGTCTACACTAGAAAATTATGTTGGCATAACTGCATCATTCGGGCATTAAAAATTCATATCCCTGAGTGGCATAGTTAAGTTGATATAAGTCCCCAGGTAGGCAGCGCTAGGTTAATGGAAGACCTAGCTATTGTTTTTCGGAGAAGTGGATTACGTGCACTGATGGGTGAATCCCTCCAGTCGGTGTAAATAGCGTCTATACTGAAGTGCAGCTGCACTACAGTGCCGCTGTAGCATTTTAAATGTAGACATGCCCTTAGTTTGTAAGGTCATTTTTTAAGGAACCATTTCTTAGTATCTGTACAGCATGAAGCAGGGTGGGTGTCCAGTCTCTGATTGGGTCTCTAAGCACTATTGTAATACAAATAATAATGATAAAGAAAAAGTAAAGTGTTAGTAGCTTGAGAAAAACATAGTATTTTAATACGTTTGCTTTAATTAAATAACGTTTAAAGGTAAACAAACTTCTTAATTGAGACACTAGATTATGGTATTAAGTACTTCTGGGTAGAGAAGTATTAAAACTGAGTTAAAAATTGACAAATGTAAATATTCCTAGAAAGAACAATGGGTAAAATCCTGGCTCTAATTAAGTCAATGTCAAAGCTATCATTGAATTCAGTGGAACCAGGCTTTCACACATTCAGCTGAAAATATAGGAGAAATTTTAGGAAGACAGAGTATGATTATCTAAATTGGAATTTGTCCATTACACTACCATTAATTATGTGATATTGTCATGCTGTGTTGAGTAAAGTGGCCTGATCTCATGACCTCTGAGCTAGTCCTAGGTCACCATCTTTCTATTTAAGGTACGGATGTGGCCCCCATCACCATAGTATCTAAGTGCCTTACAGTCTTTAAATGTATCCATCCTCACCGCACCTCTGTGAAATAGGGAAGTACTACTACCCCTTCTTCCCCTTATTTAACAGATGAGGAACTGATATTGGAGCCCTTACTTAGGCAAAACTCCCAGTGACGTTGGAATTTTTTCAGGCTCTGCAGTTAGAGAGCTGCAATATTTCTCCCATAAAGCTGTTCTTGAATTGAGGGCCTGATCCAGAAAAGTGCTTGAGTACATGACTAGTCCTACTGAAGTCAGTGGCACTGCTTTCAATGCTTTGAGCTACGCATGTGGTTAAGTATTTTGCTACATCTGAGCTTAAGTGACGTTTATGTGAAAAAATAATGTATAATAAACTTCACTGGAGTATGGGATTCAATTGGGAGTTCTTGTTGTGATGAGACTTTTAAAGGTTTGCATTACATAATGTAACATTTTATGTTAAAGGAAGATTTATAATGCACATTGAAGAGATGTTTGTGTATTTGTATTCTCTGTTTAGACTGGTAGAGTACTTGCAGGCAATGCGAAACTTTTTCTTGCTTGAAGCTGGGGATACTATGTATGATTTCTACACATCTATTTTTGATAAAATAAGAGAAAAGGAAACTTGGCAGAATGTATCATTTCTAAATGTCCAGCTCCAGGAAGCAGTTGGACAACGTTACCCAGAGGACAGTTCAAGGTAAAACGCATTGGATTAAGTTTAAAGTAATAGTGAAAGAAAAAGTCAATTTCCTTTTCCCTTCCTGTTGAAATGATAGGTTTATGAAATACATAAATATTAGGCTCTATTGTGTTCTTAGTCATCGGTATAGGTGTAAGTTCAACCACTTTGGGTCATTCTGTCCCTGCGTTTTGAGTTAGAAACTATTGTGTGGATTGATAGAGTATTCAAAATGCAGTATGGTGGAAGTAAGCATATGATTATCTACTTAAAATATCAGAGCATTAATTAATCTGTGCACTAGAACTACATTTTACCTGTAGAGATTTGTTTTTGTTTTCCTCCACAATAAGTTCCCCTATATATTCACTTGCAATAGTGTCTTCATTAGTAATTCTGTCAAACAATCTTTTTACAAAGCTTGGAGCAGAGGTATCTTTACAAATCTTTCCCTACCAGGTTAAATCTGATCACTAATATTTAGTAATGACAGATTAAAACAAAATATTTTAAGATAACCATGAGTTTCATGCAAACCATTGGCAACTAGAGTTTTTGTTTCTTTTTGTAGGCTGTCTATATCTTTTGAAAGTGTTGATACAGCAAAGAAGAAACTCCCTGTCCATACCTTAGATGGCTTAACACTGAGCTACAAGGTAAAATATAATGATTTTTTTTGCTTTAATTTTAAAATACATTTGAAGTGTAACCGCAAATCGCTCCATCAAATTAAGTTATTTTTTTTGTGTTTTTTCCTCTTTAGGTCCCTTGGCCTGTGGATATAGTTATAAGTTTAGAATGTCAAAAAATTTACAATCAAGTGTTTCTTCTCTTATTACAAATAAAGTGGGCCAAGTATAGCTTAGATGTTTTACGATTTGATGGTAAGAAATTTCTTGAAATAGTTCTTGTTAATCTTAAATCTGTATCACTGAAAATATAAGGTCTTGTTTTATGGCATATTGGTATCCATGCTATTGACAATTGTTTGAATACATCCAGTATTACAGTAGCCTCTTTGAAAAGTCAGCATTGCAGCATAATAGCCCCTGTATGTAGCATTTACAAGGCACTGGGAAAGATAGTTGCTAAATTAATTTTGCTCAGCAGAGCAGTGTGAAAGTCACATTGGACCTCATCTAAACCCACTGAAATGAATGGGAGTCTTTCCATTGACTTCATTGGTGTTCGAATAAGGCCCACGGTGAGAATCCTTTCCTGATTATGTAAGCAGTTAAATGATCTTGGAAGTCAAGTTTTGAAGTAAAATTGACATTGCTAGGGGCAATGTCCATCCATCTTGATGGCAGATTTCTCTCATTTGTGGTAATGGATGTATGAGCATCCAGGATAAGAGATTATAAACAAGTTGGATCCTTGATGGCTTTACAGAGTTCATCATAGCTGTGTCTCATTTAACACACCTATTAAATATAGCTGGCTATATTTATTGAGGCATTTCTTTTGCAACCATCTCTGTGCTATGGTATCTAGGCACCAAATACAGAATTGGTCAGTCCTACTTTGTCTGCAAAGGACCCTTAATTCAGCGATAGTTTTTTTGTTTGTTTTTCAAATCTCTGAGATTTGTTGCTCGGTTATTCTTCAGCCATAGCCACTGAAGGAAGTCCTGTGCATCATATCCTAATGCAAATATAGCCATGATTTTACCAGTAACATCACTTCCTGTCCTAAGTGGTTGTGAAAATAGTTATTTACCCTTTATAAACTACAAAGTAAAATTATGTAGGTCAGAATGTGTACTTGGGAGTTTAATTTTCCTGTGCTGGCAGAATGTCTATGGGCTCTTTAATTGTGTGGTCAAGATCAGAAGGGTGTGTGGGAGTGCTGGGGAGAAGGGTCAGGGATTTTTCCAGTATTCCACTTCAGTAGCCTTTTGGTGTTCATACTATTAAGAGTTTTATATTAGGTAGTCCACTCTGCTTAACCTTTGAAAATAAATAACTATGTCATCCAGAGAGTTTGAGTGGTTGGGCTCAGGTTTCACCTAAAGACTTTCATAACCCTATTGGATCATTGTGTCACTGAAGGTATTGAGAACTGTACTTTCTAATTTGCTAAAATGAGTTTTAATTTGTAAGGGTGTGACTGGGCTTGGAAGTGTTCTCTCTTTTGTGGAGATAACAGTTTATGTTCATGTAATTTTTTTTAATATTGTAATTTATAAATCTTGGCATTTACATAACACTTTCTATCTTTAATACGTAGCAAACATTAATTAATTGCATCACAATATCTCCTCCCAGTTACGATTTTAATATATGATTGTTATGTAGCTACTGATAAAGTATCTGAATTAAAGGACAAAAGCTATTTCAGTATATTATGTTCTGATAACTTTTAAAAAAAGATACATTTTTAGTTTTAATTAATATTTAAATGCAGTTAATACCTATTTATTTTATAAATATTCACCCAAACTTTTTCCTTTCCATTTTTAGAGCTAGTAAATGCTACCGAAAAACCACAGTTTAAGGAAGGACCTCAATTAGAACAAGAGACAGTTCCTCAGTTTGGATCACAAACCGAACTTATAAAACAACAAATTCACCGTATGTTCCTCTTACGAGTGAAACTCATGCATTTTGTTAACAGCTTACACAACTACATCATGACCAGGGTTCGTCCTTTTACAATAATCTGACATATTGTAGGAATTTCTAACTGTAGTCATAACGGCTAATAATGCAAAACAACTTCTGAGTAAGCATGTGTAAATAAGTAACGTCTTCACTTAATGTGTATTTTGTTCAGTTTTAAGTCCTGAACTAAAAAGGAATGTATATTGAAAATATTCATGCTGATTGTTTGTTTGAATTTTAAGACAGACATTTTAAATTAGTAAATATTAAATAGACTTTAGGAGTTTTTAATGTGGACAATTCTTTGATATTAGTAACACTTTTCTTCAGTCTAACTTTTCACCCCAAAGGTTTACAAAGAAAGGACGTTAATGTCAAGAGAAACAATAGATTTCAGTAAGCTGCTGTTATTCTGCACTCCTAATAGCATTACTGCAAAAGTTGTATCTTTACATGGGTGTCTCTGGGAGTTAACTAATATCCATTTCCAAAAGTTTATATTCTCTTAAATGAAGCAGGAACCTGTGTAGATCCACACTTACCCTACTACTGTATATGTATTGCAATTCTGTGTTAATACATTCTTTTTGAAAGGAGAACAGATGGAAGCTGGCCCACTTTCTTAATGATGATGCTCTGTGTTATGCAAGAGGTTCTGAGTTCTATTTCCAGTCCCAGTCTCTTGATTCCTAGGCCTTCAGGAACTGGGATTTCTAATGGTGGTAGCATGCCCTGAATCAACACCTACAGAAGTGGCATATTCAGTCCATGGTACAACAGCAGCCCTCTCTATCGCAGCAGTTCTCAAACTGTGGGTTTTGACCCCCAAAGTGACTTGTGACCCCATTTTAATGGGGTCACCAAGGCCAGCGTTCCATTTGCTAGGGCTCGGGGCTGAAGCCGAAGCCTGAGCCCTGCTGCCCAGGGCTGAAGCTGAAGTCTGAGGGCTTCAGCCCTGGGGCAGCGGGACTTGGGCTCCAGCCCTCGCCCAGGGTCATGTAGTAATTTTTGTTGTCAGAAGGGGGTTGCAGTGCAATGAAGTTGGAGAACCGCTGCTCTATTGAATTCAAGAATATAATTGACATGTTGAAGGGAGTTCAGTTTTTGGTTATATGGATGGTGGCCATAAGACTGAACCTCAAAGGTAGTGATGGAAGAGGGGAAGAGTGAGGGAATAATTGAGGTTCAGACTCTAAAAAGACCTCCCCAGAGAATTGTAGAGAAAAGAACTATGGGGATTCCAGTCATAGAGGTAGTATTCATGTTAATCCTCCCTGCTTTTTCTTCTAAAGATTCTTCACAGTACAGGTTTGGAGTTTCAGCACCAAGTAGAAGAAGCCAAAGACTTAGATCAACTGATTAAAATTCATTATAGATATTTGTCTACAATCCATGATCGCTGCCTGCTGAGAGAAAAGGTATGTGTTAAGTAAAACTGAATACGTGGTATTTTCAGCCTAACAAGGGAGAAAATGTTTGTCATTACAAATCATACAGTATATGTTGGATTTTTACATATGGTAATTATAGATATTGTGGAGAGGCTGTAGCCTTTCCAGAGTTACAATTGAGACTCATTTTCCTTGTAAACCTGCATTTGCTTCCCACTCAGAATAATTTCCTTAATTATACAGTTCAGTTCTACTTCAAATTGTACATGGGTCACCTGTGGCTAGAAGATATGGGAATTTATGGTGATTCTTTGAGTACTGTCCCTATAGGTGCTCCACTCCAGGTGCTCTTGTGCCCACTGTACCTGTGATTGGAGATTTCTCAGAGCAGTGTTCATTTGGCCCGCGCAAGCGTGTTATTCAGTCTCGTTCTCTGTGCTGTTCTATAGCACTGCATGAGCAAACCACCCTCAGTTCCTTCTTACCTGCATTGGCCTGAGACAAAGCCTTATCAGTTGTCTGCATTGTTTTACCCCAGCTGTGTCGCCTTAGTTCTTTTAGTAGTTAGTTTATTATAGTTAGTAGTTAGTATTTGGTTGTAGTTTTAGCTGTTGTTTTTGTCTTTTTTGGAAAGATTTTTAATTATATATATGGCTTTTAGATCGATAATGTCTCCTCTTCTGGGAATTTTTACTTTACTGGGAGAGCATGCTAAGTTCTCCTGGTTTCAGATGCTGCCTGTTGTGCTAGCGGGGATTACCGGTGACTGACACTCCTCATGCACCTGTTGCCTCAGGGAGTCTCATATTTTCTAAAAGTGCAACTTCTGTCTGGCACTAAAATCTAGAGCTAACAGGGAGCTCTAACTGACTCCTCACAATGGAGAGCTCACTATGCCCAGCCTCTGACACTGATCAAGGGACCTCCTCTGTATGTTGGTCTCTGAGTAAGTCCGCTGCCTTCGCTGTCTCCGAATCGTACTCCTTGAGAGCACGATTCCTTTTATAAGATTCCCAGAGACTATCCCTGGAGTTTTCCAGGTAGGGAACCTACCTCAAAGAAGTCAGTCTCTGATGACTTCAGTGACTTCCACCCCTACTTCTCTCCAGCCCGGTACCCATGAGGCTGCTGGTTCCTCAGGTACTCAAAATATGGTTTAAACTAAAGACTATAAAGTTCTGCTGGTACATACTCAATAAAGGAGTTCAGCTTGGTATAATTTAACGCTTGAGAGTTGGCAATTCTGAATTGTAAAGTGGCAGGACCTTATCAAGAAGGTTGTGGATTCTTTGCAGATCTATCCTGAGGAGGTTAAAGAACCACATCATAAGCTACTTGGCATCCTTCATACAGTTTCATCTGCCTGCATTACCCTGGTTGTTAACGATCCTGCAATTTGGCATACCCCAGCGTCCATTCTGCCCACATGTAAGAGTGCAGACAAAAATATCTTGTCCCCTCTAAGGACTCTATTTGTATTTTCCCATCCCTTTCCTAACTCCTTAGTGGTTAAGAGCGTTAATAAATGTGGAAGTCAGCACCGTGCTATATGTACGCTCTGTGATACAGATCATAAATGCCTCAACCTGTTTGGTAGAAAAGGATATTTGTCAGCGACTTTACAGTTGAGAATCGCCAACTACCAGGCGTTAATGGTGAAGTATAACAGCTGAACTCCTTTTATTGAGTATCTACCAGCAGAACATAGAGAGCAATTCTAGGCAATTAATGCAGTAGGCCAACTGCTCACCCGAACATATCCTGTAGGCCTCTCTCAGCTCTGGTGATACTGCCACTCATTTGATTTCTGTGGCTGAAGTTAAGGGCCTTCTGGCTTCTGCTCTCAGGATTTCCCAAGGAGGTCCAGAATACGGTCAAGACCTTCCTTTTGATGGCACCAAACTGTTTGCTGAAAGCACAATCTCTACAAACGTTGAAGGACTCTTTCCCCTTCCCTCCCCCACCCGAAAGGTCGTGTCAGTAGTAGCAGGACATCTCCGCAGAAAGGTTATTGTAATGTTCCCTTACCTAGACAGTTGGCTTCTGAAAGATCAGAATGCAACTTGCAAAGCCATAGTCCTCTTTCTCCAATTCTGCCTGCAATTGAATATTCAAAAATCTGCCATAACCCCTGTGCAAAAGTTAGAATATGAATTCATCTCAATTCAATAGGGGCAAGAGCCTACCTCTCAATGCACGGATTCATGGCTCTATCTATCATAGTCAGTCCCTCCCTATTAATGGTGCACTCCTTGAGCTTGCAAAGGTCCTCTAGAGCATGCTGGCTTTGGTACCGCCTGAAGCACAAGGAAAAACGCTACTTCATTCTGGTGGAGGGATGTGAGGGTTTTTATTCCCATCAGGCCCCACGTTCCCTGGTCGTAACTGTGGTGAATGATAGAGCCTATCAGGGCACGTTCAAGTCCATTCTCAAGGATAAGGACTCTAAATGAATGGAGCTGATGGGCAGGAAGATTTATACCTCCTCTTCCTTGCAGATGCAGATTGTTAACCAGCAAGCATTGCTGTTCAAGTATGACTTTGTGAACTGGATGGCTACGTCTAAGTTTGCAGACCAGCTGCCATAAGCCTCGAGAGAGGAATTTTGGGCATTTGTCACCGACGGCTGCTTGGTAACTAAGACTTTGTTGCAGTCTGTGCTGGAATCTTCAGGCAGAGTGATGGCCTCAGGCATGACCACGAGAGGAGCTTCCTGGCTGCAGAATTTGGGCATTGCTCCCAATGTGCAGCAGGCCGTAGAGGATTTTCCCTTTGATGGCCAAATGCCGTTTTTGGATAGGACAGATGAGACTTTGCACTTCTTCAAGCACTCTAGGGCTACCCAACAGTCCTTGGGAGTATATATGCCAACAGTGCAGAGGCACCACTGTGGTGGTCAACAGCAGCAGTAGCGTCCACAGCGCACATTTGGGCAGCCGTTCCCTCCCCCAAGACAGCAGGACTATGGCAGAAAGGGGCATAGATCCCATAGAAAGAAGCAGTCCTGTCTGGGGTTTGGCCAGTCCATGTGCCCTCCCTTGGCACCCATTAAGCACCCATTTTGACTCCTTGGTCCATAGCAGTGTTCCAGTCATCATTCCTTTCTCCCTGTCCCTTCAATTTGGGGACAGGACGGCCTTCTTTTACAATGCATGGGTTTTGATCACCACTGACAGCTGGGTCTTAGGCACTGTCAGATCTCATAGACTTTAAGGTCAGAAGGGACCATTATGATCATCTAGTCTGACCTCCTGCACAACGCAGGCCACAGAATCTCACCCACCCACTCCTGCAATAAACCTCTTACCTATGTCTGAGCTATTGAGGTCCTCAAATCGTGGTTTAAAGACTTCAGGGTGCAGAGAATCCTCCAGCAAGTGACCTGTGCCCCAAGCTGCAGGGGAAGGCGAAAACCCCCAGGGCCTCTGCCAATATGCCCTGGAGGAAAATTCCTTCCCGACCCCAGATATGGTGATCAGCTGAACTCTGAGCATGTGGGCAAGACTCACTGGCCAGATACCCAGGAAAGAATTCTCTGTAGTAACTCAGATCCCACCCCATCTCACATCCCATCACAGGCCACTGGGCCTATTTACCACTAATAGTCAAAGATCAATTAATTGCCAAAATCATGTTATCCCATCATACCATCTCCTCCATAAACTTATCGAGCTTAATCTTGAAGCGAGGTAGGTCTTTTGCCCCCACCGCTTCCCTTGGAAGGCTGTTCCAGAACTTCGCTCCTCTGATGGTTAGAAACCTTTGTCTAATTTCAAGTCTAAACTTCCTGATGGCCAGTTTATATCCATTTGTTCTTGTGTCCATATTGGTACTGAGCGTAAATAATTCCTCTCTCTCCCTGGTATTTATCCCTCTGATATATTTATAGAGAGAAATCATATCTCCCCTCAACCTTCTTTTGGTTAGGCTAAACAAGCCAAGCTCCTTGAGTCTCCTTTCATAAAACAGGTTTTCCATTCCTCGGATCACCCTAGTAGCCCTTTTCTGTACCTGTTCCAGTTTGAATTCATCCTTCTTAAACGTGGGAGACCGGAACTACACACAGTATTCCAGATGAGGTCTCACCAGTGCCTCGTATAACGGTACTAACATTTCCTTATCTTTACGGGAAATACCTCGCCTGATGCATCCCAAGACTGCATTAGCTTTTTTCACAGCCATATCACATTGGCGGCTCATAATCATCCTGTGGTCAACTAATACTCCAAGGTCCTTCTCCTCCTCTGTTACTTCCAATTGATACATCCCCAGCTTGTAACTAAAATTCTTATTAATCCCTAAATGCATGACCTTACACTTCTCACTATTACATTTCATCCTATTACTATTACTCCAGTTTACAAGGTCATCCAGATCTTCCTGTATGATATCCCGGTCCTTCTCTGAATTGGCAATACCTCACAGCTTTGTGTCATCCACAAACTTTATTAGCCCACTCCCACTTTTTGTGCCGAGGTCAGTAATAAAAAGATTAAATAAGACTGGTCCCAAAACCGATCCCTGAGGAACTGCATTGGTAACCTCCCTCCAGCCTGACAGTTCCCCTTTCAGTAAGACCCACTGTAGTCTCCCTGTTAACCAGTTCCTTATCCACCTTTCAGTTTTCATATTGATTCCCATCTTTTCCAATTTAACTAATAATTCCCCTTGTGGCACCATATCAAATGCCTTACTAAAATTGAGGTAAATTAGATCCACTGCGTTTCCTTTGTCTAAAATATCTGTTACTTTCTCAAAGAAGGAGATCAGGTTGGTTTGGCATGATCTATCTTTTGTAAAACCATGTTGTATTTTGTCCCAATTACCATTGACCTCAATGTCCTTAACTACTTTTTCCTTCAAAATTTTTTCCAAGACCTTGCATACTACAGGTGTCAAACTAACAGGCCTGTAGTTACCCGGATCACTTTTTTTCCCTTTCTTAAAAATAGGAACTATTTAGCAATTCTCCAGTCATACAGTAGAACCTCTGAGTTTGCAGATTCATTAAAAATTCTTGCTAATGG